AGCGAAAGGAATGCCGAGCAGCAGGATTTAAGATGCAATTTCCCTGACGATGTCGCTCGTCATCCGTCACACGGACTGTTCCGTGGGACAATGCACACCTAAAATTACGCGTTTCAATTACAAATAGATACGAGCTCTAGAACCACAGACGTTTCATTCGTTGGAACTGACTTGGCCAACATTACCCTCCACATCTGGAGCGGCAGACGCGTCGTCTAAAATCGGGATTGTTTAAAATTCTAGTAAGACTGGTCCTGCAAACAGCGAATCGCATACTGAATGAACGTGGTCGTTAATAAACAATAAGTGAAAAGGAGTTTGGTAGAGAAACATTAAGTTTATTTCGGTCACACTCAATTTTGGATTACGTCGGCTTCGTAGATGCAACTTTGGATTAATTGATAAACACTTTGATTGGCAGTATTGTCATCGATTATTTATTAAGCCTTTTGTATGGCTTGTTATGCTATTCTTTACTTAGCATCCAGTTCTTTGATTTTAGACGTTCCAGTTCCGATTTAGAGACTGGGAAGTTATTCGGGTAGCGGAATACGAATTGTTCAGTTGTGAGATGTTAATTCTGATCGCAACCTGAGAAACTGATATAAGAGGAAAATTTCCAAGACTTTTTCTCGAGAATGTACGTTCATCCTTCGAGCGACTGCAGCGATTGCACAACTCGCACGCCTTGCTCGAAGGTTGCCAAACAAGTCACGAAGGCCGTTCGATCAAAGACGCTTCGCCTCGAATCACGCAACACCTGTATCACCTGCCGGATCCGTATTAACAGGCGTGCTTACGCAAAACGTAGGCGTGCAACAATCGCTCTCGCAACCTAATCCGGTAATGAGTATACACTCGTTGAAATCGTTGCTCAATAAACAAGTTGCAGCAAAAATTACCGCTAAATTTAGAATAACAGTTGTTGTAAAATGTATACAGTATACAGAACATTTCGTTAAAATCTTAAAGTCCTATTTGCAACGTTGCCTGAAATCCATTAGACGTCGAGAGTAGAAAAGCTTCTCGAGGCAGAAATCAGCGTCATTCGCGCGAATTCCCGCGCTATTATCAAAAAGTGTGAAGCTGAAAGCAACAGCGAGGTTGAAAAGGTCGGCTAGAAAACGCGTGCATTCTGCCCGGAGCGTTAAATGCCGCTTCGTTGTCTCGTTCCTCCGAACGCAAGGAGAGCTCCTCTACGGCTTTATTTTGCTTCCTTTGTGATCGACTCGCGTCGTTTGTTTCCCGTGCGAATCTCCTGCAAGACCGATGTTCTCCGGCTGCCATATACCCTGCCGTATATACGCGACGGTATGTCGCATTCACCGATCAGGAGACACTCGTACACGCTTACGCTCGCACGCGTGCACCGTTCCTCAGGCTCCGATTGTATGCACGCGAACGCACCTGTACGCCGTTATTTCCACGGCGGCTGAAAAGGCCGATGCGACGGGAATTCGCCAGAGGATGATCGTTATCGAGCCATTTCGGGTGCCGGTCGTTTAACGAAATCCGTTCGCGAATCGATGAAACCCTTCGCCCGTGAATGACCCGACTCGACAGCTCGTTGCGCTTTGTATGTACAATCGCCGCCCGCTCTGGTTTTCACGAAAAATTTTCATTCCCTCGCGCGTTCACCTATCCCAATCGTTTTTCACGCTCGATTCTATTCGCCTGCCGCTGCTGCCTCGCAACAATACGCTACGTTTAAAGGTACGTTTGCATTAATAACGGTCCAATTGCGGACCAGAAAGTGAAACGTGAAATGAACAAGACGGCCATTTTTCCCGGGCCCGTTTATTGTTACTGTGTACAAGAAATTCATCACCCTGAAATGACTTGGTCAACCAATTAAAAGCTAAATTGATCGTATGACCAAGAGACACGGTGGACCTCGTCTAAACTCTACTCAAAATTTATGACGCACCTGGTGCGTCCTTAAGTGCACTATACTGTGACGCAACGTAAAGATTAACACTACACTTATTCTTACTGTTTATTGTTACTGTGTACAAGAAATTCATCACCCTGAAATGGATTCATGACTTGCTCATCCAATTAAAAACTAAATAGGTCGTATGACCAAGAGACACGGTGGACCTCATCTGAACTCTGCTAAGAATGTATGACGCACTTAGTGCGTCCTTAGATGCACCACACTATGACGCAACTTAAATTTATCACTGAATTTATGGAACAAAATGACATATTTATAATTTTTAATTTTAGGAAGATGCTTGAAATTAACTTTTGTCAAAATAAAGAATAGTTGCATAGAATGTAACTTCTTTAACACTAAAACTACCAAACCGGTCTAATGACCGCTCCACAAGTTTCTGATTATAAAGTACACACTTTGTTAAAGTAGATTAATTGAAATCCGCATTGATTTTCGTCAAGATAAAAGATAAATGTATGTTCTATTTTATGTTTCGTCATTTGTTTATTTATTTTTTAACTTCATTTTTAATTTCAAATTAAGTACACTCTATGCCGGTAGATTTAGTGTTAATCTGTACATTGCTTCATTTCTAATCTAAAAAAACTGTCTCAACAAAAGTCACCCTTAAGATTTCTCCATAAAGGTTAAATTTCACCAAGAAATTTCTCCAAATTCGTTACACCTCGGATTTTGCCTAAGATAGAGGAACGTTTCGACCTACAGGAATCGATCGCGAAATCTCTTGTTCGTAAGGGCGACGCGTATCTGGGGGTCGATTCCGTTTCACGAGCAGAGACATCCGGTCGTCGGCAGACAGCTTTTCTTTTATTCAGACGCTTTCGGTGGTTCCCGTACGATTTCTCGGCGGGCACGTATCCGCGCACTGTGTCTCGCACGTGCAGCACTCTGCGCTCTGTTCTTCCTCGCTAACTTTCGTCTCGAGAGGTCGGCCGGTTGCCAGTTTCACGTGGGTGACGCGTGGAATGCGATACTCTGCACTTTACGTCCGCGAGGACGTGACATGCAAAATCGTACAACGACCGTCCAAGAACGCGAAGGAAAAAACGAAACGGAAGAGAGTACCCTGTCTTGCTTACGGGGGGTCACGGTTGAACTTGAGAAACGTTTTTATTAAATTTTGTTAAATTTTGTAATACAAGTTCTACGGGGACGAATCTCGGATATTATTGCTAGACATGGCACCTCCAGAAACGTGATCTGCATTTCGGGTCGCAGAGACCCGGAGAGAACAGGTCACGACAGACAGATGGCGGGGTATCGAGTATATAAAGAGGGATTACTGGTTGACCCAGGATCGGATCGACCAGAGAACGTAGAGAGAAGAAGTAGAGCTTTGGAATACATTACCGTGGGATTTTCATCGAAACTCCGCCACTCGCGAGGACTTGCATCCCGTTTAAACGAGATCCCGCCGAAAACTTCCGATTTCACGGGCCAGAATTGCAGTCAAGTTGGCCCTACCAAGCTGACAAACTTTCCGAACAGGCTTGGCCGAAGAGAAATCGAATAGAAGTTACTCCCTGATAAACGAAGTCGAATTTATTGCCCCGCCGCCTGAGCGAGATTTACCTTGATTTATTGTATCGTCCCTCTTTTATTCCCTACATTTTTTTTCCTTCACCCTTCCTCCACTGTTTCTTTTCTTTGGCGTGTATGAACGGGGAAGATCGTCGGACCGAATCGAGCGAGAGAACGATTGTTTCGGGGAAGATTGATTCCAACGCGATTCACGCGCAAGAACTTTCAAACTTCCCGTTGTATGCACGAACCACCCCGTGATCCTTTAATTCGATCCTTTCGCAGACACACGTAAAACCATCTTCGCCGTTTGTCGCTCGGATTTCAATTGTTGATCGAAAAAATCGAAAGTCATTTACAAACTATGGATATTTCATTCCAAGGAACTACGTTGCTATTTAGAAAGTTCATCGATTCGTTGATGAACCTACTTGATCTACAAATTTACAGTGTCCTACAAATTTTTTCACTCGAAAATTTTTTCGACAGGAAAGAATTTAATTGCGAGTCTCATACGAAAAGTACCTAAGCTCTGGTATGCATACTGTTCGTGGAAATGGCGTCTCGTTCGAAATAATATGGCCACCATAAGCGAGGCTGGCTCAAAGACGCGTAGGAATTCGATATTAAAACGAGCAACAGAAACTGGCAGGAATCCGTAGGTCGGAACTTAATGCGCCGTGCACTTGGGGCTAATTGGAGCGAAAAGCTCGTTAATGTCCTCCACCCAGCTCGTCTGGCATCGAGGATGTTCCTAGCTAGTTACTTCTAGTTCTGGTCGAAACGTTTTGACGCTTCAACCGAGGCGACGCGACTAAACGAATCTGCGTTTGCGTTTACGCTCGGAATTCTCGAGCCGAGCCAACGCGACATGACGCTCGAGCTGATTTCCACGCGACCCGGCTATTAATTATCCGTTCGAATTAACGTTCAAAGGAAACGCTAGAATTATTGCCGAATTAATTTGTTTGTCGAATTCGGAGCTAGGACTACCTCTTATTAATTTCGATATACTTCGATTCGACCTTTTTGCGGAACATTAATGCAGTTTAACTTTGTACGGGAATAAACAGATGGATGATATATGAGATGGACCGGAAATAGTAGTACAACATGGAGATTCGCAATTAAAAGGGAGGATATTTTGGTATAACATCCGAGGCTCCAATGTTTGAAATTGCACTAAATGATTGAACAAATTTTAGAATTTATTTAAACCGAAGACCTGAATATTTTCTTCCTTTTTAATAATCACCCGCTCGGTTGTATTTTCCAGCCTACTTATATTCGATGACTAAAGCACCCATCAATGTTACAACGCAAACTGTCTATGTAACATTTTGTTACTTTTATGCTTTCGTATTTGCTGTAGGAACCCCGAGGATATTTTATATCAATGCAGTTTCGGATGCAGAGCCGTGAATACGTGTTCCCAGTAACCGTATACCGGTCAGTCCACGTAGTTCCCGAAGCAAAAAGACGTCCAAGCAAAAGAGAAACGTTTGGTAAATACTCTTACCTTCAAGCTCGACGACCTTGCCAGCCCTCTTGAGCGCCTTCACCGCCTCGTCGTGTGTCGCCTCTCGCAGATCCTCCCCGTTTACGGCCAGTATCGCGTCGCCCACGTATAGTTGTTCCGTGGCGTCGGCCGCCATCCCCTTGAAGATCTTCGAGATCAAGATCGGCATTTTGTTCTCCTTGCCGCCCTTGATCGATATACCGAGGCCGTTGTTGTCGCTTTTCACTACGCGCACGATCCGCTTCTGATTCGCCACCGAATCCGGCACGTCTGGATCGTTCAGGCTGTCTACGTTGTTATTGTTGATGTTACCGTTGTTCAAGGCATTGTTGCCCGTCTCGCAGCTCTCGTCCAACGAGATGCTCAAGTAATCGTCTTCCAGCGAGACGAACACGCGGTACCATTGGCCACGAACTTGCGTTTCGAGGACGCCCGCGCGACCCGAAGCTGAAGACGATGCGGCCGTGGTCGTCGTCGACGAGGACGAGGACGACGTTGCCGCGGATACTACCGAACCGATCCCCATCACTCCCATCGCTGAAGTCGGCGGTCCGCTTCCGCACAGCTCGACCATTTCGATTTCTTCGCAAGCTGCACGCTGTTAACAGACGAATTACTCCTTCGTTTTTTTGTCGATTTTGTCTTATTTTTATATCTATTACAAATTCGCTGTTAAGCATATTGGGTATGTTAGGTATTCGTACACTTATAGCATGTTCTACTCCTGAATACACACATCATCAAATGATACGCCTCTAGATCCTTATACTTCCACAGGTTTATGTGACTTCCCTATGGAAGTTCATATTTAAGATCATATTTGAGAAAATATCTATTTGTCTAGATTTCTCTATATTCCTATGTTATCACATAATAAATCTTCAAACCCCTATACGCTACACCTGCAATTATGTTTATGCCCCTATACCTATATGCCTAGATTCCACATGCTAAGCCGTCATACACCTAACTCCTCATGTGTGACTTCTTATTTCTATATTCTTCAACGTCTCTAAATCTCCATATCCCAAGTTTCTATACACCTAGATTCCTATACTCCTAGTTACCTGTGTACCTAAATCCCTTAACATCCTCAAATAACGATATCCTAGATCTCCACATCCCTTCATCCCCTTATTCTTAGCTGTATACCCTCCACATATCTGTGTGCCTAGATCTCCTTATCTCATTGAGTCATATCTTAGATCTCCATAGTCCTAGATCTCCTTGTTTCTAGATACGTATACCCCTAAATAGCTACACATGTAGTTGTCTATACATGTACATATCTCTACCTAGATCTCTTTTCTCTCAGACTCTTACACGAAATACCTATATACCTACATAAACACCTATGTGTATACGGATTCTTCTACATACTTATATTGTCATATGCATATCTCAATATCAAGCTCTATATTCCCACGTCCCTATCGTCACCCCTACATCCCAATATATCTGAAATTTCTATACCGAGAAAATTTCAATAAACATCGTTAAAATTTCTCTATTGCAAAAATAGCGTTATATCACCATACGTTGAATATCCTAATATGTACCACATTAATGTCTACTGTTGCGAGTGAAAGTAGAACGAATTTGAATTGAAAAGCTTTGAAAAAGAGGAGCGTGTGAGGGAAAAGAAATAACGCGTCGCGCGAAGGGGTGAACGACGGATCCATAGAGAGAGCAACACGGGTCAATTGCATCGTCTGTGCCCAACGACGTGGATAAATCAATTGTACTATACTACGGTGAAATTCGTAATTTGAAAATAATTGATACTGGCCGGCAGTGACGTGACCGAGCTCTCTTTGTCTCCCTCTCGACTATTATTTCCATCAATCCATTTTCACCAGGCAACAATGACGTTTACCCGTTAGTCACGGAAAATGTCCTACAAAACTGTGGACAACGGGTATAATTGCATGAAAATTGGGAGTGGCCTCGCGTTTGCTACATCTGCTGCTCACTTTTAATTAATTGAAAGTCTTGTTTGCCGCTCTGTCATCGGGAACGCGGAGATACCGGCGCTGTTCCATTTCAATAATTTTCCAGCATTTGCGAGTTAATCAAGACTTTTAACTTGCAGAATATTCTCCTGGAATATCCATCGTTATTCGCCGGCGTTCTATCAGCATCCCCTTTCCTCTCCCAGGGATTAAGAGAGGGAGTTTCGAATACGCTGTTACGGTTTATGAACGCAAATACCGGCAAGGTGTCTCCCCTAAAAGGACCAAAAAAACCATTACCCCGCGGTATATTTTCGTATCCACGTTATCGTACACGCGCCGTATCCCCGGAGGCTGAAAGGGAGGCGGTATCGCGTCATATTTAACCGGCGTATCGCGGCGTACGGAATTTTTCGTCAGCTCCGTGTGCCGGGCATAAATAATTTCGCGGCTGTGCCAGGTAACCGTGTAAATTGGATAATTTATCAGTGACACGAAAGGGGGATAGATATTAACGAAAGAATCGGACCAGGATCACCGGGATGACGGATCGTCGAGCTTTCTCCGCGGAACGGAAAACTTCCTTGAAATTAACCGGTTTCGATTCGCGGAATCTTGCCCGGAGTTTTCGTGGGAACATTTTCACGCGGATATAAACGATATTTGTTCGCGGGACATTGATTAAAACGTTCAACGATTCTGGCTGCATAATTAATGTAAAATTATTAATTACCTCCGATGCGCTTTACGCAACGTTACCTACTGTAATTGCGTCGAATAAGGGATATCGTTCCGTGCAGGTAAATCTCATTACGAACGCTCGAATCGAACTCGAACAGCGTGTCGCGTCGCGATCATCACGAAACAATGGAGAATCCATCTAAATTCTATGCATTTTCAGCCGCACCGTGTGATTTTTCCGCGTCGAAACCGCGTTAAGACAACGGCAAATCGTGAAATATGCACGACAGCGTCAGATATAAACGATAGCAAAATAAAAACATCTAACACTATTACAGAGCCATAAAGTCCGTTTGCGCAAGGTATTTTAATTCGTGGTACTGAGACACTGTTCATAAGTCATATTTATTTTTATATTCCGTATGAATCCACATTTATATCTATATGAATTTCATATGACACATTTATATTTATATAAATTTTTTATGAATTTACGTTTACATTTATATGAATCTATATCTATATTTGCATGAAAAAATTCAGTAAGAATTTCTAAGTTCCACGAGTTTTTCAATCACATCTTCTATTAAAATCATCAAAGGTAACGCGCATATCACAATCGTCATTTTTCACTTATAATCTTTCGAGTAAATCGTTACATTTTGTTTAAAAGCTTTTGTTTATGCTTATTCAAATGTTGCACGCAATACTGTTGCACGCAGGTCGCATATGATTAAACTTAATAATAGAACAGAGTCGATTCGGTTTCGAAACCTAGAAAAAATATGCATCGATGCGAGTAAAAGTGAATTGCGAGGAGAAATTTAGGTGTCGTAAATAATTCGTCGTTATCGGAAGAAGGATAGACAAGCAAGAATAATCAAGAATAGGCAAACACGGTAGAACAGTATTTCGTCGGAATGAATTTACGCAAAGTGCATTAAAATGCGGCCGGTTGCGTTCATTTAGCCCCGACACAAAGGCACGCACCGAATAAATTTCTATCGAAATCGTCGGTCCGGATGGGAGCGGGGTACGAGGGGCGCGCAATTGGAAAACGCATTACGCGTACGCCGGGGGTTCACCGCGGAAATAAACCGCAATGCCAAAAACACCGCGCGACGAAAATTAAGGGGAACACGCGGGTTTCGGATAGGAACGGAATCGTTGCGAGACAGAAAAAAATTGAGAGACGATTTTTGGAGGGTTGGTGGAGAAGCGCGATGTTGCGAGGAGGTACAGGGTTGGACGGTGTAGCGGTGCGTGAAATTGGGTAAAAATGAATCGACGCCAGGACTCGCTACCGCCATTATTTCCGAAAACCCGTATCGGGATGTACGTACGTTAGTCACCTACGTGACACGTTACGAATCGACGAGACGACGATGCAGAAAGTGCAGCCAATGTTTTTTCGGCTTTTCGTGCACGCATGCGTACGATTGTACCGGGGATGTATCGCAGGAAAAAATTGACACAGTTATATACAGGCGTCCGTGAACGAAACAATATAGGGAGAGGAGAAGCGATAGCGATGGTGGTTGCGATTAAATTAACCCTTCGTCGATCGCGGAAAATTGACCGGCATATACACGCCTATTCATTGCTGTACTTATTTCAGTTGGGGTAAAATCTGCCTTTATTATGAATAGAATCAGAAATGAATAGCTTTTGAAAGTATGCAGATCTGCAAATTTTGATAAGCTTCAGTCAAACGGAACGCGTATAGATGTTGAAAATCTCAGGTACATATTGCAAGCAACTCTACATCTGGCGCATAAGAGGCTGACCCACATCCCCACTTTAAACAGTCCCAATAACATTCTGACGTTCAAGGTGACTCGAAATATTTGCTAACTTTGGTTCTATTGTTTGTGTCCATTTTTTGACCAATTGGGACCGTAGGTCAGCCTTCAATCAGATATGGAGTTGTCTATAATACGAGGACCTGCATTTCCTCCGATCTTGTCCTCGTCATCCTGGCATCCATCGGTGTTACGTATCGACAACACGATACTTGTTGATCCGAAATGGTATGTGGGTTACGGTGATCTTAGAAACGCAGTCTTACATTCGTGAACGTCCACCGGAGAACGTTGTAACCAAATATGTCTGTGAGACCCAATACTCCGTATATTCAGCCCGGTGTATCGTGGGTGTATTAACCTCGCGTAGAAAGCAGCGATGCACAATACACGATGCTCTCGGGCGCAGTATCCGAAGGTCTTGTACCAAACACGCGATACCGTTCTTACACGGGCTTAATGCTGACGAAATGGATGACACCGTGACACGCTAAACACGTTCCCGATAATTCCGGTTGCTCCGTGAGCATGCCGATAAACATCAACCGACTATGGCGATTCGATCCTCTCTCTCAGCCTTGCAACCGAGCGATTCTATCGCGAGAATGTTCCAATCCTTTTGACGTCCAATATCCCTATGTTCCAATATCCCTACGTTCTAATATTCTGCGCCTCGATATCCCTAAGACTATTAACTCAATAGCCCTTAGCCTAGTATCTAAGATACTAATATTCCTAGGATCCCAATATCACTGCATTCCAATATCTCCATGTTTCAATATCCCTATAGTGCAATACCTTCGTGTCTCAATATCTGGGAAATACAATGTCCCTACGGCCCAATATTCTACGCTCTAATATCACTACAATGCAGAATCTGTACATTGCAATATTTTTACATATAAATATCTTTACAATACAATATATTTCATGTCTACGTCTCAAGGTCCCTACGTTCCCTTTATCTAAATATTCATATGTTCCAATACCTCTGCGTTCTAATGGCCTTATGACCTAATATTCCTATGACCCAATATCTGTACGTGCTAATATATCTACGTCCCAATACATCTGTCCTAATGTCGTTATGACACAATATTCCTCCGTTCCAATATCTTTACACTCCAGTACCTCTACGTCCCACTATACCTACGTGCAGATATTCTTACATCTCAATGTTGTCAGATACTGATATCTGTCTATGTCCCAATATCTCGACGTCCCACTATTTCTTCACCTCGATATCTTTACATCCCACTGTTCCTTCAACTGAACACCACGTCTCAGTATCCAAACGCCCCACTATTCCTCCGTCTCAATATCTCTACGTCCCAGCATCTCTACATTTCAATATCCCTAAGTCCCAACATCCCTACGCCCCAATACTTCTACATACCAATACCTTTACGTCCCAATACCTTTACGTCACAATACCTCTACACCTCAATACCTCTACGTCCCAATACCTTTACGTCCCAAAACCTTTACGTCCCAATACCTCTACGTCCCAATACCTTTACGGTCCAATACCTCTACGCCCCAATACCTTTACGTCCCAATACCTCTACGTCGCACTACCTCTACACCCCAATACCTCTACGTCCCAATACCTTTACGGTCCAATACCTCTACGTCCCAATACCTCTACGTCCCAATACCTTTACGGTCCAATACCTCTACGCCCCAATACCTCTACATCCCAATATCCCAACGTCCTACTGTTACTCCGTCCCAACATCCTTACATTTGAATATCCCTAAGTCCCAATACCTCTATGTCCCAAAACCTCTACATTCCAATACCTCTACGTCCCACTGTTTCTCCGTCCCAATATCCCTACGTCCCAACATCTCTGTGCCCCAGTACCCCTACAACCCAATAACCCCACAATCCAATATCCCTACAGTCCCAAACCTCTCCGCCCCAAAATTTCCACGCTCAATATCCTTACACCCGAATATCCTTGCATCACAATATCTCTATATCCTTCCAAACCAAAGAACATCAGATCCCAAAATGAGCCCACACTATACAAATAAAAAAAGCAATCTCCAAATTGAATCATACACCCCGCACGAACAACTGTACTACCTCCTCACATAAAACAACCATGTCTAATAAAAACATCGATATGACGATATCCTGTAGCACGTAACCGAGAGGTAAGGTTATAATTAAAGTGTTTGTCTCCGAGAATTAGACTCGTGCTGCCCACGTGAGACTCCGCGTGTGCGAAGGACAGCGCGAGGTATAAGTGAAAGACGAGATAGAGCGAGATGAAAGGATAACGGAGAAAGAGGGAAGATAGTCCGTGAGGTAGGGTCTCTCGGACGAGTGTATACGGCCCTGTCGTGCCCCTCGCAAAAACCAATAACCTCGGCAAACGTCGGGCACGGGTTGTTTATGGCCTAAAAGAGAGAAGAGACGGATAAGAAGGAAGAGGACAGAATAACGAGGTAAGAGTGGGGACGGACAGGAAGAAAAAGAAAACAATCGCCGTTGGAGAAACGAGGGAAGGAAACACACATCGCTTCGGGATCACCTCGTATATACCTGACCGGGAACACGGCTCCGATATTCTACGAGGAACCTTTGTTCGATCGTCGAATATAATTCTTGCGACGTGCTCCTGATACGTAACCGATTATCACACGTTTCGTTATTTTTTCGGAACTGATTATGTACACTCCAGTTTCAACCCTTACGATACAACAATTAACCACTTGCGATAAAATTAAATTTTAGGGCTTTGTAATTTATTTTATTTATTCTAAGAAATTTGTGTTTTGTGCAAAAATGACTTATAACATTTATTCTTGTAAATTCGTATTATATATAAGAATTAATGAACGTAAGAATGAATGACATTTACTCTTGTAAATTCGTATTATACGTAAGAATTAATGAACTTAAGAATGAATAACATTTACTCTTGTAAATTCGTATTATACGTAAGAATTAATGAACGTAAGAATGAATAACATTTATTCTTGTAAATTCGTATTGTATGTAAGAATTAATGAACGTAAGAATGAATAACATTTCTTCTTGTAAATTCGTATTGTATGTAAGAATTAATGAACGTAAGAATGAATAATATTTATTCTCGTAAATTCGTATTATACGTAAGAATGAACGTAAGGATGAATAACATTTATTCTTGTATATACATGTATACAGTGTGTAACATACCAGAACTAGCAGTATGGAGAACCAGCGAACTAGCAAACCGGAGAATAGCGAAATAGTCAAATAGGGGTACAATGGAGTAAAACGGTAAATAAGCACAGTACGGTAAAATACTGTAATGGGTATAACGGTACAGTGGAATAGGGAAACTGCGATGTGGTAGAAATGTAATGATATTGAAAGGCACGCGAGAAGTATCGAATCGTCGAAATATCAAGGGAAGATCAATTCGATGGAGCAGGCTGTTTTGCGCCGATCACGCGACGCTCGAAGACAAGCAAAGAGAAAAAGGAAGAAACAGGAGGACAAAGTTGGGATACCGCGCGCAATGTTCGAGCGTGTTTCTGTCGGATCACTCGTTCGGGAAACCACCGCGGGGCTCTATGGTTGAAATTGGAGTTGCAAGAATCCAGAGAATGCGACACGGAACGGTGAATCTCAAGGAGCAAGTTGGAAACCGGCAGAAATTGAAAATCGGCACGGACGAAGCTCGCTGCTTTTGCACCTTTTTTTTCGAGTTTCGAACTTAAAACTTGGTCGACGAATTCGGGAGGAATGCACTGCGAACGGCGTAACATTATTTCCTCGCTTTGATCTTTCCGTTTGAGCATTGTTCGATTTTATGCTTGCTTTGCGTTCCGTCGAAAGGAGTCGGAGAAAACTCGCATGATTCGCGATGTGTCATCGTTAAAAATATACGTAAGGCGCGAATCATTAGTGGGACACGTTGCCGCGAAATAGCAATTAACGTGTATTAAGGCTCGTAAACCTTGCAGTGTCAAACTCGGAATTAACGCCTGGAGCACCATGACGCATTTTCACGAGCATCTACTTTCCGTATTTGACTGAGAAATATAAATTAAACTGATATGCTAAGGAAAATTAGGAATTTCTAGCTAACGAAAATTTAGGCAAACCCATTACGGGTTTGAGTATCAAAACTGGGAAAAAGTAACGAATTTCCTTCTGATCATTCAAAGACAACCGGACATGATTATACAACACGAGGTTATACAACGCAAGGTGATATAATGCAAAACAGAACGTGACATTTCTTAAACAGCGTCATAAAGATGGATTTTATTTCCTTGTTCATTGCAAACCTAAGCTTATGAAAAGTTTAAAGGCTGTCGCCGAAAATAGCGTAAGCAGTGACATCTTTGCATATGGACGCAGACTTAAGAGAAATAAAAATAATTTGTGACGTACCTGAGGGAAAAGGACGAAACAACGAAGGCGAACCAAGGAAAAGAAAAACAGAAGTGGAAGGTCAGTGGCGCGTGCTTCGTTCCAATGCAAAACTAAACGGGTACACTGGTTATAGCCGATCGTTTGTACGTTGATTTACCGTTTTCCGCGCGTGTATGGGCATATGACTTCCGGTAGGCAGTGGGAGGCACGACGCCTGGCCTGCTTTTCTTTCTTTGGCTAGATCAGAAGAGCGTTGTTCCACCGACGGATTCCGTGCTCGTCCTCCGCCGCCGATTCCTTCTTCTTTTACGACACGACACGCGTCATCGGCGGACGGGTTAATACATTCGACGAGCCGCGTTCGAGTCAATGACATAACCGCCCGTCGGTTCGCCTTTCAACAGCCTCGACATGTTTCGCCGGCCTTCCTCTTCCTCCGATCGAAAAACGCTTCTTTACGAATGATTCGCTTTTTCACCCCTCACCGCTGCTCACCTACTCGCTAACATCCGTCGTTCACTTTCGCCGTAAGAATCGAGACGATCGCTTTCACACTCCGTTGCAAATTACCGTTTGCACGCGCGCGCGGCAGACCGATGCCGCTCCAATGTTACCAGATTAATGTCAGTCGTTGCGAGACACTGCGATTAACCGGATTGACACTGTCGTTGACACTGATCGTACGAGCACGAATTCATCCTAGTTTGAACGCCCGTTCCCGCACTCCGAAACAGGCGGTTTTCTACCGATGCAGGAAGATCGAACACTGATCGAACGTTACCCGGGGCAACGAACGATGTACGGTCCTTCTGGGATGTGTATGCGATTGAATTGCGAGGGGAACGTGACAGACGCGATGCACGCCGGGAGACGCGTTCCCCGCGTCGGATGTTTGAAAATGCGCGTTAATGGCGGTCCGATTTACAAACCGTGGTGCGCGTACGGACGCGATAATGAGTACGGAAAAGAGCACGTCACTTTCAAAACCGGTCACATCGCCAACGGGACAATATACCACGATCACTGAGAAAACGAACAACCGACGACCGCGACGTCACGAGTTGTACTGACTTGACTAGCGGTTCGTTCGGCCCGGTGAACCTATCGCGGAAAGCGAGTTGCGCAGGACGCGAGACGCGAGGGGCAGGCGCCGGTGTACGCGACTCAGGCGCCATCCGCGGGAAAATTTGAAAATAATTGCCCGGTGCGTTCTCCTTTATCGACGCGCCCTTCGATTATTCTTTTGAATATCGATGAAAATCCTTTCGTAAGTAATTTTAGTAATTAGTACTATTACATTGCAACATATTATATTAATATTGCAATAAATTTGTTTGTAAATAAATATAATATGAATAAATGTTTCTGTAACTCGCATTGTCGTTGACGACTTAGAAAGACATTGAATTTGAACAAAAGAAAATTCATATAATTATTGAATAAAAGAAATTTATATCCTAATGAGTGTTACAATGCTATATCTTTTAAAACTCAGTTTCACATTTAATTTTCTAATATATTTTATCAGTTAAATAATTTTTCCCATTCTCCCAAACTTTTAAAATATGTGTTCAATTGTATATCTGTTCTACCTTAGATTTTTATATATAAAAAAGAATTTGTTTAAATTATTAAAATTTCAAAATCATGAAATAAAAAAGAAAATGAATTTTTGTTACCTTGGTAGTTGAACCTTGTGCCAGATAATATCCAACACAAGAATCAGATTTTTAACGTGCGCTTAGATACAAGAACAAAAAGCATAAAGTGGGTCGTACACATCCCGTTGGTCACGAAAGGGTTAAAAGCACGCGTTCAAATGTAACGCGTACACGTTTTTTTTTTTATAACGCGAACGTGATACGAATGAGTCAAAGTTCTTCAACAACGAACTTATCTGCATCGACTGGAAACAATATCGATTTTCCGGCACGAATTCATAAACCATTTTACACAAACAAAACTCCGGTAACTTTTACAGTGTCCTACTCACTCCATTATTCTCATCGATTTCGTTCGAAGATAAATTAATATCGCGCGAGGAAAAAAGAGGAGCGTGCACTTTATTGCATCGCGGATATCCAAGTTTTCTTTGTGTCTAATGAAACGAACCGGGGGTAGGAAGGAAAAAGAGGACACACGGACGCGTCCGTTAACAGTGTATCATTTATTCTCTCTTGCCTTGTACATTTTAATTCATAGAAAGTACCTACGGGTTTTTGTTCGTTGCTGATATTGCAGCGCAATCACATTATGCATTTCGTTTCACGTTGAAACGATGGAAAAGCGGACACCGTGAAAAGGGAGGAACTTATAAAGATACAAAACCGGATTACCTTATCAGTCTTATTCTCTGAAATAATCAAGACGTCTGTTCTGAATTTCATTCTGCGCCGTCCTTCTTATACCTTGCGCGCAAACACCGTTTCACTGTCGCTAACTTCTTTCTCCAACATTATCGCGCGAAACGATAAAGTTAGAGCCAAAATACATTACACATTATCGTTGTTGCCCTATGGATCCGGTAAACGGAAGATATACAACCCCGCTAGACAGCGGGAGAAAGTTTTATCTACCGTTTCTGAAATATCAATAACTGATCCCTCGAACATTTCCTATTCCAACGGTAGAGATACTCTGTCGGTCTTCCTTCCTTCACCGAACGCCATACGGAACGTGCCTGGATGTATCCCTTTCAAATTGAACGATGCAACAATCTCGTAGAAACGTTCAGCAAGTACCCTGTTCCGGAAGATGGCACGTGTCGTTACGAGCACGGATTTACCGTTTAAAATCCAATTCAACAGAACGCGTTACCCTTCCGATAATGAAGCGGGCGCGTAAACGTGACGAAAGGGAGGCTGATACAGACCGGACTTTGCCACATTTCGAAGCAAATGTGAACTTGCTAGAAAGTAACTTTACGCGTTCAGGCTGTTGACTTTGCGAAGCTCGAGTGATAGCTTGTGCCTTGTATAGTGTTTGAAAAGGTTAGGGTCAAAGTTTGAGAGCTTGTAGTGCTCGCTTAAACAAACGAAGGCGTCTTGATCCTGCAAGAGTTATGTCGCAGGTGACAAGACTAATATTTGACTTGAAATCACACGCTCGATCACGGATAATAAATATATTTAAATCGGGTGTTCTATTAAACAGAGAAAGAACGCAGACGTTGATAAAATTTTCAAAATCGACTTTCAATCAGATTTTCCGGATAAACAGACATTGTTTAATCTGCACCATTCTACGTGTTCCCTCCATTTTAGTCTGTCTTTCATACCTCCTGTTGTCTGACTCCATTTTGCTTCCCATCCACTCACGTTTTCAGCAGGTACACATTGATTCAGTGAACGGGTTACACGATTGATCTAACGCTATCAGAGATCGTCATTACAGGTGAATCCGAGTCACCGGTGTCAGACAAAATCGAGGTCGAGTTGTTTAATTATGAATCCGCGAATCAGAGCATGAACATTCGAGCACACCGGCGAATATTTTTATCCGCAGTTCGAGAAGTCGAGAACAAACCGGCTGAATCGGGGATGTTTCGTAGTCTGTCCATTGAAACGTTTCTAACCGTGAACCCGTCGATGGTTTGCCAATATGAAAGGAGAAGTTAATTAGGTTACGCGTGCGTTTCGTATACTCGATGTATTTGTCAAAGAAACTGGTACAAAAGCAGACAAATAACAAAGAAGCGATCTCGCAGAGTACCTTCGATTTTCTCGTTTTGCTTCGAAGCATACAATTACCATTCGAGATAGAACGCCGCGATAGCGTCGAATATTTCGTGCAAATAGATGATCGAAATTGAACGAGAGTTTGCAAGTTTATTCGATTCGTATAGGTACATATGTGCATATATTAATTAATATACGGTGAGGAACTGAACAGTGAATTTTAATATAAATAGCAATTTTAATCATTGATGTTTATCGAATCTTTACAAAACCCAAAGTTCTAAACGATAGTGTTATTAATATTTTTCACAATGTACAAAATACTATTGTTTGCTATAATATTCGAACGAGTTTTCAGAAACTTATAAACTATGATCATGAGCATTAACCTGACTAGGCGCAGAGCATCCAGAAGCAGAGGGTTGAAATTATTAATAAACTTACAAGCTCCTGTTTATTCTAAATTCCTAGTTACGTTAATGATCACGTATCTTATAAAATTACGACAGATTTTACAAAAATTCCATGACGAAGAGCGGTCGCAAAAGAACAAACAGCGGCCCGTGAAAGGCGCCTTTATCCTAACGACGTCTTCCCGCCGATAAAATGGCGGTTCGTCGTCGAACGCCAAACACGTTCCAATTCTCGAGATCATCGTAGACGGATCTCCGTAGAGCGAACATTTTTTTCCTCGATGTCACATCATAATTTTATCGGAGATCGTAATACGAAAGAAGCAACTGCGGAGGATAACGAAAAGGGGGCTGAAGGTTCTGGCTACAGTATGGTGTTCGTCGCTCGAGATTTATCGAAGCTGAACACCGATGCATTAGCGATGGAAGAGCACGGGAACGAGATGAAGGTAACGAAGCGAGGGAGGAAAATCGACGAGGGTGTTGAAGAGGGGAGGAGGCATCGACCAACGTCTCCACCCTTAAACCGTTCCTCTTCTTAAAGCCAAGGAGGTCCCTCAAGACACGTAACGAATCAATTGAGACCGGAAACTCGCGCACCAACGCGTTCGCGATTTTCCATCTTACAATTTCTACGGTTTCGTGTTTAATCGTAAAACTAAGATTGCATTCTCTGACCAATTCTTTTTTGCGACTTTATTTTCTAGAAATACTCTCGAATACTGATTCTCCCAATTTTAATTTTGTAAATTGGATCTAAATTTTATGAAACTTCAACGATTCTGCATAACTGAATATACTATAATATAAATATAAATTGAAACTATAACATACAAAATTATTTGCATGATTCGATACGAAACTCTAAGTCACCTTTCACCTCCAAAAGACTTTTGGAAGCAAATATGATAAAAGCTCAAGAATGATAAAATACATTTATGTTCTTATGTTAAACACGACCTTCGCCATGGTGATTCATAAGTTATAACTACTTAACGCTTACTCCTATAAGTTTCCCTTATACCTCTAGATTTCTATGCAATGTACAATTGTTTGCTGAACAATATTTTCTGACGTCCAAAGAACGTTATGAATCGTAGTACTATTAAAGTGTATTATACATTAAAAATAGACATCTCCATAAGTTAAGTAGTAACGGTGGGAACATCATACAATAGTTATTTAAAAATGGCACAGATTTTCGACATTTAATTGTACATTGCACGTGCTATTGTTCATGGCAAATCGTTGACACCGCTCGTCCATCGAGGAGCAGGTGCGATACGAATAATCTCAAGAACGCATGAAGTATTACAGGAATCATTTCGTCTCTAATTTTAGCATGTCGCGCAGACGTAACACCATGCGCGCCACGTAGTCCTGTAGCAACGATTGTCTCGCTTTGCCCACGTCCATCACCTCCTCGTGATTCGCTTCCAGGTGATTCTCGTAATCCGTGACGCACTGATTCGTGATCAAGCTAAACGCGAAAACGGTCAGGTCACAGTGTCTGGCAGTGATAACCTCGTGGACTGTGGACATCCCTGAAAATCGTCAAACGTTTAAGTACATCGATCAAACCTATCGTCGTCAAAATTGTCAATCAAAATGACAGATTATTTTAATACGGTTGTAAGACGCAACAAATAATATCTAATCTTTCGATTATAAAGGTTAATTATTGAACCCACCTACTGCGTCGACTCCGACCATCCTCAACATTTTTAATTCCGCTACTGTTTCGAAATTCGGACCACCCAGACACGTGTACACGCCTCTATGCACGATGTCGCTGATCCCCATCTCCTCGGCCACTTCCTGACCTAATTCTAACAGTTTCAGGTCGTATGCTTTGTTCATAGGCGGAAACCTGGGTCCAAATCTGTAATCGAAGAAAACTCGAATTTAAAAAAACTAATTAGATGAAACACGTAAATTCAGATATTATGGATCTTGATATCTGTACAGTATCTCTGAATCCCAACACCTTTGTAGTTCTATTAATCATAGACTTCGAGTAAAAGAGAAATGGTATAAATGTTGAACATTCGTGAGCTGTCAGGTCGACGAAACGGCGAAGAAGAACCCAAAGAAAAGAAGACGAACTAAGCAGAAAATAAAGGGAGATCCTTAGGTAAATACGTCAATCAGATTCTTTGTGTCGTCGAGTAAATAGTTCATCAATCCGATTCAACGGGTTGTTCCGATGAAACAGATTAATTTTATTCGTTGGAACGACCTCAGCGATCTCTCACGGCCACCCTTGCCTCCGTTTGCCCTTAGGGTGGGTTCTTGGAACGTCGTCGAGCTGTGCAATCCGCGAACGTCGTCGACGACTTTCCTTCCGGAAACGAGCCCGAAAGCGTTTGTCGACTGGAAGCGGATTCAAATTCATTGCCGTTCACGCCGCGTCGTGAATCCCACCAACCCTCTTTCTCAGTCATCATTTTTTTCCCTTATTTTTCTCGCCGGTTCGCCCACCTCCCCCACAGTCCTCTTTCTTTTTCTTCCATTCTTTTTCTCTTTTTTTAATAAAGTCGAAGCGTTTCTATTCCTAATTGTTGGGTCGTCAAAGAAATCGTGTTTGCTCTTTGTAAACATAAAAATTACACGTCAGGAGAAAAGCATGGTAAGCTTCCCTTATTTTCTTCCTGAATCGCCACATTTTTCTCTTCTTTAAAACCGAGATGTATTTCGAATTTTTAAATCACAATGTTTACTGTACAGCATAGCAGAAGAGGGTGGTTTAATAAAGAAACATGCAAATGTGTCACGACATCGAACGAAGCGATGTGAGGTTTCATGAAGCGACGTTTCGGGAGAAGCAGGAAAAATGTACCTGTCGTCGTTCGGTCCTTGAAGAGGGTTATTCCCCGCAAAACCCATCATGTTCACGTGATCCTTCACCATCATAATGTCGCCAACTTTGTACGTGGGATTTAGTCCCCCTGCTGCATTTGTCGCGATCAGATGGGTCACCCCGACCAGCTTCATAACTCTGACCGGCATTGCGCACTACGTGTGGAACCACAAATAATAACGATTATAATAATCATTAAATGGCGCGATAAAAACGCAATCTCATTAAACGATGTTTTGGTTCACTAAAATGTCGCTGAATCATGGATCTATATTCGTGCGTAATTGCGGTTCACGAAATTGATAACTCTAATTCCATTCGGTGAAATGATGAAGTAATTAACGTCGGATATCGCTATTCGTTTTTCAGAAAATATCGAAATTTCTTGAAAAACGAATTTAGATAACAATTGCGTAGATTGACCAGAATTTATTTTTATGATTATGATGATAAAATCGTGGTTGTTGCAGTGATGAGGGGATATGTGACCGTTCAGGATCATGCGTGGCCATATATCCGGAGAGGTGAATTCAATTTAATTGTAGATAGATAGGGAATTCGATTAAGGTGACTTTGTGTATAATAAGACTGTAAATATATTATATTCTTGTTTAGGTAATTCGATCACCTAATTTTGTTGCTTGTGAGCAGTTCAAGGAATTGGTACAAATTGTCATATAGGCAATTTAGCGATCACACATCCGAATATCACTGCGGATACAAAGTACAGTCATCACCTACCTTCCACAACGGATAACCCTCGTAATAATGAAACCTTCCTTGCATGCACATGACCGGTACACCTTGCAGATAACCGAACACCATCTGACCCGTGTGACCCTTGACAGTGGAGACAGGGAAATGTGGGATTTCGGCGTAAGGGAAGCACTGCTTGTCCTCGAGGGATTCCGCCAGTGAACCTGGACACAACTCGTTTTGCTCATTTGCTCCTGTTCGGGAATACACAAAACAATAACTGGGAAAATGCGTGTCTTATCTACAACGTACGAAAGCCTTCAACGTTCAGAAATCACTTACCCATTCCGGAACCACATATTATCCCAATCTTTGGCCTTATCTTGACGCGATCCAGGAGATATTGTGCTGATTCTTGCAACGCCTCGAACGAGTACCTAAGAACAAATATCAACAGTGACTTACTCGATAAAATTAATCGATTTTGCAAGAACCACCGTGTTATGGATTCAAACTTATCGAACGTACTCGCGTGAAAACGTATCGATTCGAACGTTTCGATAAATCTACCGAAATAATACCGGCATCCAGTGATAATCCAGACGAATTACGTTAATGAGAATGTAACAAGAAGCGAGGTGTAGGGAGAACGGCCAGCACAATTTCAACGGTGAAAACTATCACAAAACGGTGCAGTTACCTGTTAAACTGCTAACAGACTCGAATAGTGGCGGATTTAAGCCGAATGTAAGCTTCAAGGGTATTACAAATCATGCATCGAAATACGCGGCGTAACGTGTTTATGACTGTGTACGTGTGCCGTGCACAATCTCGTATACCGTGTCCGCCATTCACGCGTACATGGGCTCTGAACGCGCCCGTGAAACGGCTACACGCACAGATGCACAACTAGAATTTCCACGCATTCGACCGAATAAACACGGGTCTACGTAATACCGCGCGAGATGCAATTGAAAATTACTTACAATTCCACGCTGAATTTTAATGGACCCGGGTACATTTTTCTCTGTCGCAAATGTTAACGTTGCGAGGATAATTGATCGTCCGTCCAAGAGATAAGGTACCGTGTACAATGATAAATAGTCAAATTTGTACTTTTTCATAAATTCAATATCATTTCGGACATATCGCACAAGATCTCTTTTTTAATTTTACAAATTTTGGATCTCACAATTTTGTCCTATTACGATCAAAAAAAGAATCTTTGCTCTATGATTGAAAATTTAAAACCATTTCGAAACGGAAGCAGACACCATAGCGAGAGCGTAACGGTTACGATAGGGACGCACGTACGAGCCTTCATAAGGGACATCGAATTATAACGCGGTGAATACGGTTGAATATGCATCCGCGCCGTCAATACAGACAGGGCCGAACAGTCGTATTCAACCGCGAATCTGAGAATTGCTTCGCAGTCTAGCCCTGGCATCCCATGGAAAAGCTTCGATATAGCCGCGGGTATGGCAAACGTCATTAGACCAACCGCATTCGCGGATGCTACGTCGTAAAACGGGATTGTACGGTGGCTCGTTATGAATGGCAAATGTGAGGTCGACGATTATTATAACGACGTGAATGCGCATCGCTTCGGGCTATCGCGAGGATTCAATGACGCCTCCTCGATTTTCGCTACAATATCGCTCGTTCTAATCCCTATTGTCGATGCCTAACGCAGTCGGAAGTCGCTCCAAACTCTTTCCCCTTTTTCCCTTCAATCTTGTCGTGTTTTCATTCTGCTCCGAACGATTGACAATTAGGAATATAGACGTGAATATAGCTAGAGTTAGAAGTGCAGGAACGGTATAGGGATTTGGAAGTGTGGAGATCTAGGTACACGTGATACAGTGGTACAGTGACACATATAAGGATATGCAGCTAGTATAATGATGTACTAGAAGTGCAGTCATTTATGAGTATAAGGTGTGGATAGGATGGATGAGGAGTGGGTGTGAAAATACAGGAATAGAGGTACATACTATCTCTGGAGACATCTCAACATCTGGAGATGTCGAAGTCTAGGTACATGGTCATTAAGGAAAATCAAGGTATATGCAGTGTCCAGAATATAGATATGTATATGTAGGTCTCCTATGTCCAGAAATAGGAATCTGAGAAAGTAAGGACCTACGAGTATTAATGATGAATAGAGGTACTTATGGACAAAGTGGTTTAGACTTAACTAAAAATAGTTCATTTGAAAATAACAGTTTCAAGAACATTGTTATGTCATTAAATAGTGTTCTGTTATATATTACAGCTCGTACTAAAGCTGATAGAAAAGTGTTTTTATGACACCTTCTTACAAGTCCCCTCCGTTCTCCAAAATTGAAGAAGTCACGCGAGCGACTCATTACAGCGATTGAACAAAAACTTTAAAACTCCGCAACTTAAAGAGAAGAGATTGTATTAAGGTTCCCCAGACATTCCCTAGACTAAGGATACTCGAAGTTCACAGTGTCCCTAGACACCATAGCTCCTCCAAGATTCAAACCACACCCTTAAGCACAGAAACCGTACATCGCATCCGAATGTACGCCGACATAAATTTAAAGTTTCACCATAAGAAACTTCGACGAGATTATACCAAATTCTCGTAACTTTTTACTCATACTTTTCTATTCCTGTCAAGGGATCGAGCATTCCTCGGCCGAAGTCTTACCTGTTTATCGAATTCGAGAATACCAGAAGCGATCGGACCAACCGCGTTCCTAGCGAACGTCGCTCGTGGAAACGCGTCCCATTTTCTCGTCGTGCATTTCGCGAAGCGGATAATAGGAATATAGACGTGAATATAGCTAGAGTTAGAAGTGCAGGAACGGTATAGGGATTTGGAAGTGTGGAGATCTAGGTACACGTGATACAGTGGTACAGTGACACATATAAGGATATGCAGCTAGTATAATGATGTACTAGAAGTGCAGTCATTTATGAGTATAAGGTGTGGATAGGATGGATGAGGAGTGGGTGTGAAAATACAGGAATAGAGGTACATACTATCTCTGGAGACATCTCAACATCTGGAGATGTCGAAGTCTAGGTACATGGTCATTAAGGAAAATCAAGGTATATGCAGTGTCCAGAATATAGATATGTATATGTAGGTCTCCTATGTCCAGAAATAGGAATCTGAGAAAGTAAGGACCTACGAGTATTAATGATGAATAGAGGTACTTATGGACAAAGTGGTTTAGACTTAACTAAAAATAGTTCATTTGAAAATAACAGTTTCAAGAACATTGTTATGTCATTAAATAGTGTTCTGTTATATATTACAGCTCGTACTAAAGCTGATAGAAAAGTGTTTTTATGACACCTTCTTACAAGTCCCCTCCGTTCTCCAAAATTGAAGAAGTCACGCGAGCGACTCATTACAGCGATTGAACAAAAACTTTAAAACTCCGCAACTTAAAGAGAAGAGATTGTATTAAGGTTCCCCAGACATTCCCTAGACTAAGGATACTCGAAGTTCACAGTGTCCCTAGACACCATAGCTCCTCCAAGATTCAAACCACACCCTTAAGCACAGAAACCGTACATCGCATCCGAATGTACGCCGACATAAATTTAAAGTTTCACCATAAGAAACTTCGACGAGATTATACCAAATTCTCGTAACTTTTTACTCATACTTTTCTATTCCTGTCAAGGGATCGAGCATTCCTCGGCCGAAGTCTTACCTGTTTATCGAATTCGAGAATACCAGAAGCGATCGGACCAACCGCGTTCCTAGCGAACGTCGCTCGTGGAAACGCGTCCCATTTTCTCGTCGTGCATTTCGCGAAGCGGATAAGAGCACGACGCGGCGGAAAGTCTGGAGAGATCCGGGAAGATCGGGGCTGCCGTTTGAAACGAAACTTTGTCGGTTTTTCGCAAGAAGCTTAATGCCACTGGGATCTCTTCTGATTCAAGTTCGTCGTTCAAGAGAAAGAGGAAACAAGAGAAGATGGAAGAATCGAGGCAAAAGCGAAGCGGAACACACGGTGAAATATTAAATGAAACGAATAAAAATTCATACAAGCCGGAATGGAATGGGGAGTGCTCCTAAAAAAAAGGAACAAACTGAAAAGACAGGGAACTGCAACTACATTACGCATTCCCTTTTCATATTTAATCTCGCTCGGTTCGCGGCTCTGATAATTATCTCGAATCGCGCCCGAGTTCATCGTCGATTGTACGTCCGACAATCTCTCCGAGATTCGAATCTTTCTAAAAGTACAATGTCGGTCATCGATTATCGATACGGTCACGAACGTGTTAATTTATTTAACAAAAGGAATAATAATTATGAAAGTAATTAAAATACTTCCAGAAGGAATTTTATTATTTTTCTTTAAACTTTTTTCTTGCAACTGGCACTGACAGTTTGGAAAATTGCTGCGAGTTGAATCGCGAACAAATTGAAACTCGATGAAACACGTTCAGACATTGAACGATTCTAAACGAATCCTAATGGAATCGTGAGCGGAACATTACCAAGAATTATGATGTAACGAATTACGAAACGAAGAAGTTTCGAGCGGAACGCTACAGTTTGTGGAATCCAAAAGACACCGCGGCGAGACATAAAGCCATAGTGTAGCAATTAATGTACTTGAAAGTTTAGAAAATTGTTGAGAAAGAAGTGTTCATTAATACAAACGGCAACCGATCCGAAGTCGCCGTTTGCCGGAACGTCAACGTCACATCGCGCTATTACGTTTAATTCTTGTTTGTGTTTGAACCGCGGTTCCGTGAGTTTCGCACGCCCTGTTTGCTCGATTAAACCAACAAAATCAAAGTATGAACACTGGAAACTTCTAATTGGACGGTTCGGAACAGGAACTTGCAAGCTCCCTCGTAATACCCCTGACATGTTTCAAAGGTATTACAAGCGGAGAAACATAAAGCAAAGTCAAAGACACGAGTCAGATTTTGAAAAACCGGCTACGATCAACTAATCGATTCTGCACGGACAGGTTGCATGTTTGGACAGACGATATAAATCTACGTTTAATCGTCGAAGTTAGATCAACGTTACAGAAAGCTCGGGTAAACTCGATGGTAAATTGCTTCGGCGTTACTCTTCGTCGTGTTTCTCGCGAACAATTAACCACGGCACGGTAAGTATTAAACAATAAAGCGCTTTCTGTTTGAACGGGCTACCACTTAGAACGAGCCATTAGCGATGCAAACAGGAGCAACTTCGCCACGAATTTTCCATACTCTTCGCTTTCTTCGAGTTTCCACAACTTTCTTTAACTCTTTGAAAATCAACCTCTTTGTTAAGAAATCAGTTAAACGATCAATCATACACGAGATTCGATAATCGTGCACTTCCGTAATTATTTGAAATCGATACAGATAAGGTAGGCTTAAGATAATGACTGGTTCCAGCGAAAATTAATCATACAAGAAAGTTTAAATGAGTAACATGTATCTGGCCTGCATTTCCTCGTTGTTTACTGATTAAAACTTTTGTAATTCTGGTTTGAAGCAAGCCGTTCGAGTGAACTCGCGAACTTTTCTGATGTTAATGAGCGAGAAGGCGAATAACCATGTACGACTGTTGCGATGTGTTTTGGCGAATCGTGTTTAGGCTGAAGAGTGCCTTCCGGAACAACTTTTAATTTTGAAATGCGTAAATTCTCCAAATAAGTTTCGGTTGATATTATTTTAACAATTCACGACAGCTCGCTGCGTAATGATCGTGTCATCGACCGATCGAAATAAACTCATGTGCAGTCTGTTCACGGACGAATATGCTCCACTTCGTTCATTTAACACGTTGGCCATTGTAGAGCCAATGCTGATTGGCATTTCGTGTGTAATCTAATTGAATAATTATTTAAAAAAGATATTCGAGTGCAATTACTATCATTGATATTCAATTTGAAGGTTAGGTTCAGTCGGGGTTAGGTTAGGTCATTGACTGAAAATTGTAATGAAAACTGTAATTGAAATTCTTTATACTAATATTCACTGCAATGAACGCATAAAAAAATTAAACAATCGAATTTTAAATGCAATTATAACATTTTGTGCTGCACAATCGAAGCATTCTGCAGAACTACGTTTACATTAGATAACATTTATTTGATCGATCAGCAGGGTCAACATCGGATTATTTAATCAAGAAATTTACATTACAATCCCGTGGTCTGACATTTTTATCGTCTTTTTTCAGTCGCGATGATAAATCGAGCGTATTAAATTCATGTTATCTTTCATAAGAACAACTGTTAATCCATCAAAATTTATTCCGTTTTTATTGTTTCCTGTATCACTGTTTGTTTTTAATCGCGATTTTTTTTTTGCCACTTACATCACTTGCACTGTTTGACAAGCACTCACGTTGCTGATTGATGTATACAAATTTATTCACTCTATTTGCATTTCAATTTCATTTTTATATTCTTTTTTCATTCGGAGCTAGTGTAAAACAATGCGTCTACTGTTCCATCGACTGTCAGATACAATGATTGTTTTTCGGAAACCTGCTCGCTTTGATGGGTTATGTTAATCAAGGTTCACTATCCATAAAGAATTCGGACTTTAGAGACACTTTCGAAATATTCACTGTTTTATCTTAAGCAATACTTCACTTTCGAAATAAATGAGTTAAAAATTAAGTTGTGAAACTTAATTAACTTGTGCAAGTTAAGAATTATTTTAATAATATTTTTACTGGAACTAGTTGGAATTAGTTAATTAAATTAATAGTTTCTTTAATCAAAAGCAAACAAAATCTCAGTTCAAATAAGAATCTTTCTTAATTGAAATTTTGTGCGTAAAACTTTATTTGATCTAGCTTAATATGAATGGTTCTTTAGTATCCAAAGGAAACTTACGCGTTCTGATGCACATGTTTGACATTCGTGTGTACGAACTCGTTATCCGCGGGACGTTTCAGCGACTGGTAATGATTATGCCCATTGACACCATCAAAGTCCGCAAAAGGCATGTCTGATGTAACAGATTCTAAACGTAGCACCTTCAAACAGACAAAGTACAAGAAGCACAAAAGAGAGGAGAGATCCGTGAATGAACTCGTACAACGTTCCGTGTATCGCTCGTATAAAGAAACTAGTAACGGCTGCGAGCAGAGTTGCTGCTGTTTTATACGGAAACTCGGCCTCCTTGAAAAAAATCCGACCGCCAACGAACTGGCCAATCGTTTTGGACGTTTGCTGGCTCTCCCTCCAATCCTCGTGTTGATTGAGACAGTCAGAAAGTCGCTAGGAGGTAGGGGCACGAGATGATAACCCATTAGAAGTTAAATGCTCCAATTGCCACCGCTGCCTCTGAGTTATTTGTTTCATGTGACAATAAAAAACGCCGTGCCGCGAATAACATCGCTATTGTCTTGTCAAGGCTTTCTTCTAGGAGGGTCCTACCTATCAGATCGCGGAGTCAACAAACTTTTCATCAAATGTACCTTAGACGACGTGAAAATGCACGCAAGCTAATTACTGTGAATTTCAATTTGTGTTATCGGCATGTGAACACTGCTGCAATTTACTAATTGCTACACAAAATTTGAGATCACTGGCTCTACGATACACAACACGTAACAGTTTGCTATATGTACAAGTATATAGGACAGTTAATTTCTGTTGGCAACTGTGTAGTCTGTCGTTAAAATCGAATTAAAGTATGAGTCGACAGCATCATATATCTTATTAAAAATTAATTTCAATGCATAAATATTCAACCGTATTCGTCCTCGGAAAACTCGTACACCTCGTTTATAAGCAGGAAGTTTTCTTCGATAAACAGTAATCTTCGATTATGATACTTGTTCTCGTTATTACAATCCAAACCTGTTGCTCCGCTGTTGAATTCTTTCTTTCGTCATCGAAGGCAATTTCCGTCATGCTGACAATCTGTTGCACGAATTCGTCCGAATATTAATTACAATTCAATCGTGTTCCCGGCTCGAACGCCTCGGAGGATCCAGTGGCAGATTTATGCGCCGGCGATGACACGTGCAGCAATTTGCGAGGAATTTTGGTCGTGTGTGTCCTGCCAGTGATAATGTTCGATATCTCCTCTACAAATTACTTCCAGTTTTTACTGGAATAATTATTATACTAGTACCGTTATTATAACACAACTTACATTTATAATTGTTAGTCGATAGTCTAAAATTTGTCCCGTTTAAATATGTTTTTATAATCTCGCTGTTGTTGCGACTCCAACAAATACGGCATACGTAATATTTTTAATCTGGTATTAATACCAGTCATTATGTACATTTCCATTTCACAAATATATTTGCGTACTTATCCCCACTTTACACGTCCACCCACACAGTACACGACACATACGTATATTGATAATTTTATCATTTTACAATTAATACTTGTACTTTTACTTTTGCAAAATCTATAAATTAGATACATATATCACTAGAAGCATATGTAAACCTTCATTAATATCTTTTATTATTACATGATTTTTTTTTATTAAACAGCTCTATCAAATTCTACTTGTACATATGTCACAAAAGCATATGTATACACATGTCACTAAAAGCATATGTATACCTCCATTAATAATTTTTATTATTAAATGATTTTTTTTTATCAAACAGCTCTATCAAATTCTACTTGTACATATGTCACAAAAGCATATGTATACACATGTCACTAAAAGCATATGTATACCTCCATTAATAATTTTTATTATTAAATGATTTTTTGCATGAAACAGCTCTATCAAATTCTACTTGTACATATGTCACAAAAGCATATGTATACACATGTCACTAAAAGCATATGTGTACATATGTCACTTAGCAATTATGATCACAATCCACTTACGTAAATCGAAAGGCACAGAATCACAAGATTTCGACGTTGTCGCCAGCTCGATACAAGAACGAATGAACACCGCAAAATGTTTACATTTTGACACGAGAATTTAATCATGCAGTTATCAATAATTGCCAGTGAATTAATCAAGGTACAGGCTTTTTCTTAAACACATGTCAGCTTTATCGTTACCCCCCTGCGATCAACAGCCGTCCCTAGAATTTTTCATACAATCCTCTTTTTAACGTGATATTACGTTATCGGAGAACGGATGCACACTCTAGTAGGCTTTCTTTAATTAAGAATAAGGAATAAAGCATCTCCATGTATTTTCCTAGAAAAAATGTTGCCATTTTATACTGGTATAAAGTATACGATGTGTAGTAAAGATAAATAGATGTAGTGAAAGTTATAATGTAAGAGAGGTGGTTAAATATATTTTGTAAGCGACGTATTTAGAAACCACTCGGTATATGGCCCACCCCGAAAGAAGTCTACGAATGTGCATGTTTAGAGAACGAAAAGTACTCGTTTTGTAATGTAAAATTAATGTAAGAATAGTTATAATGTAAGAAAGGTGGTTAAATATATTTTGTAAGCGACGTATTTAGAAACCACTCGGTATATGGCCCACCCCGAAAGAAGTCTACGAATGTACATGTTTAGAGAACGAAAAGTACTCGTTTTGTAATGTAAGATTAATGTAAGAATAGTTATAATGTAAGAGAGGTGATTAAATATATTTTGTAAGCGACGTATTTCGAAAGCACTCGGTATATGGCCCACCCCGAAAGAAGTCTACGAATGTACATGTTTAGAGAACGAGAAGTACTCGTTTTCTTGTAGTTGTTCAAGGGGCAGACAACAGATATCGGGTGGAGAAAAATGAGCCGTCTTAACGAGGGTTGAGTTCGTTGAAACCCTTCGTTTTCACGGCCATCATTCTTAGTTATCTGAAACTTCCGGTGTAAAGAGGGCCAGACAACATTTCGACAGAGGTGTTCAAATTATTGAACCGACCGAAAGAATTCTTTTGTGTTTCAATTGAAGGGTTCGGAAAAGCTCGTCAATTTTAAAACAGGTGTCCTCCGCAATTTAAAATATTACTGATCCAATTATTATTTCTTAAACAAAATCTATCATTATTTCTATTTCTAGTATCTTTTAAAAATGTCTAGTACGCAATTGAATAAATTTCTAATTAATTAGTTCTACAATGTGTAGAAGCAAGTCTTGTTTTCGCGAGGAAACTTGATTGCTAATCGGTAAACTATTTACAGTTTTGTTGTGACTTTATTTGTAAACTGTCAAGCGATGTTTCATTGGCAAAACAGTTTTTCTTGCATAACATTGAGATTACGCAGACTCACGTGACACAATCAAGTATAGAGGAAAAAGAATCGGTGGTTAGTTCTTTTGGTACCAATTGAAACGACATGTTAAAGGAATGCAGGGTTTCGAATAAACAAGGAAAACAAGAACTTTTTAATCGTCGAATAATTTTAATCTGAGTTTATTTCGATCCAATTTATTCCGCCACAAAGTAATGACTGTGCTGTATTAATGAATACTCATCCGGATTAGTTCCGAAATAAAAATGATTGTACAATTTTGTTTCAGCGCTCGCTACAAACGTTACAGTTTCTGAGTTTATAGAGTAATTTATCTTCGGAACGACTGATGTAAATAACGATGATGCAAGCTGTTCGTTTTCTTTCACATTATTTCGTTTGCAATTTTAATTTATGAATGTAAAATTAGTGAAGACCGATAATCGTTGTCTCCATCGAAATTCATGAAGTTGAAGGATCGATAAATAAAAGAAAAAGAAGGAAAGTCAGAATTGCGAATTCTTCGCGAACTGAAAAGGTGAAATCAAGCTGCAGCTTGCAAATTACGGTGCAACGATGGTCGAAACCCGCGCAAAAGACCAACGGAAGCTCGAACGGACTCCGAATTCAGTTTTCACCGGTCGTCCCTAGTGGAAGCGGAAGCTACTTTGCGATGCAACGAGTAATGCATAATTTCGCTGATCGTCCACAAAGAACACCTTCCCTTTGGTCGTAAACAAATTCCGACCCGAAATACCAGATTTTCAGCAGCGTCGAACTTTCCTAATTGAAACTTCACAGAATGGAGAATGAAAGAAGTCACTAGAACGAAGAAGCTAAAACCATTTTTGATTATTAAGATCCTCTCTTTCAATGTAAGTAGAAACATCAAAGTATGCATTAAATATTCTAAGCAATCGATTTCCTTGTAAATTTTCAAATTCGAGGTTCATTTGCAAGGCATCCATTTTTGAAAATCACTAATATTTCAGAAGCTTCGAGGCTTCTCCCAGCGTTCGAGTAAAATTCAAAGTGATTCGAAACTTTTTCCATACATATATTTATATGCCCATCGCGATAACTTCGACGAGGAATCGATAGATAGCTATCGATAATCCTCTAACGCCGTATTGTGACGAATTTTAATTTGTTTACACGCAATATTATAATGGAACCGGATCGTTGTCGAACAAACTGAACGGGGAATCGTGCAATTGACTGTTTGCTCTCGAAAACCACTCTACGTGCAACAGTTAACGAATCTACCGTGCACATAGACGGGAATAGTTGACCGATTATTCTCGAATATTTCATAATTCTTCGCGCCTCCAGGGAATTTCCTCTTCGGCGACCGTCAACCAACTTTAATCGAGCATCGATAAAAACCGACGATAGATAATTGCTATTCGGGTCACGAAGAACGAATAATCAGACAGTGAATCGTATTCTTTTCTCCTTTCTCCGTTATCGATTACCGTGATCGATATTTACGGTAGAATTCACTTTAAGCGCTGAAACGAAACTGATTCTCAACGTGTCGATGGAAATATCCACCAGAGAAATGTTTCTTTTGCTACGTTTATTTCCTTTGTTATCGTTTGACGCGACTTCTACGTCAATCGTTTCATCTGCAACAAGTTCCGAAGCTGGTGAAATAACAGGAAAAAGAATGGTGGTTTAAATAGAATTGCGAAACAGATAGCAAGATGATTATACAATGTATAATAAAACCGAATACTGTAGCACAATAGAATAATACAGCATGTTTGATTTGCTGATTGATTGCAGAGAAAGACAGAAATTCTGGAAAGATTAATCGAAACATGATGCTCGACTTTTCATCGAGCAATGCGTGTTATCGTACGACTGACGAAACTTGATTACAAATAAGTTATGCGCGAATAGTTTTTACACAGAAACTATCGTAAAAACTACAACACGATTATAGTTTATTACAACTACAGACTTATAATTATACTTGCACTTTGACAATTTTTTATTCGGGCTGACCTCTCCCTTTTCTATTTCATCATCCTAGAAAACTCGAATCTACTAAAATGTACAAATGGACTCGCGAGGTACTCAAACCCATCGCTACACGTCAAATGAACATAAATTTTTTTCGACACAGAACGATAAAATTATCTGGATAAATTGTTTTGTTTCGCGATACAAATATTATTGTACAACTTACGTATTACCGACAGTACTCCCCTCGTAAGCTGTGCGAATTTTCATGAAGCTTCGCTGTCGCGTTTCATAATCGATACAAGAATAAAATATGTATTCGAATAGTGACAAATATTTTCATTTTCTACTGATCGTAAGTTGCGAAGTTTACTGACGATTGTACGGTCTATGTATTATTGCTTTAATCGCGAAAGATAAATATAATAAGCACGGCATTACGAAATTTCTCGACCCTCGCTGGTGTTCGAGAGTGATCCGCTGGGGTTCTCTTTTATCACTGACCTCCAATAAATAACTGGAGACAAAAATTTAGGAATACAACTGTATGTCAATATCGTAGACCTACTCTACGATCGCTTTTCTATAATATTGCGAACGCGTTTTTCGAAAGTTTTCATTTTTATCGATGCGGAAAACAAAAATCGATCACGTTTATATCGTTTGGTTTAAATTTTTAAGTAGAATGATATAACTACGTAATTTGTATGAGAGTAGTCGATAACATCTTACTATTACGAAGTAATTAATGCTGATTACTGAAAATATTATATAAGCCTCATTTTTACACGCTTTTTTAATTTCATGATTTGTTTGAAAACAGTATCTTTCGCGCCATCTACTGGTGAGCGGTGAAAGTAGAGAAATTAAAAATTACAATTTGTAAGATAAGATTTTAGAATACAATAAAATATTTAATATTGTAGAGAATTCGTAGATGTATAGATTTTAATGCAAATTTTGCTTTCGTTCAGAAACTAACTCCTTATCACATGTGACATTATCCAAACTAGAATAAGATAACAGTGCCACGGTAGAAATTATAATTGACCGAGCGAGCGAAACTCTTATACTTGACTTTGCAACTTCTTTGTCCGCGTTTTTCTTTTGCACCAGTCAACCAATTCAACCGGATGACACGGTTGACTATTTTTGCTTTAGCGTGAAATTTACTCGCTTGCTCAACATTGTTAGATTAGGCGCGGAGCGCCTCAATCAAACAGACCTAGTATATATTATAGAATATAAATTTTTAACCATTCTTAGACAAATTCTAATTAGCCTGTTTCCGTGTCACGAGTCGCCATCTAGCGACAATGTACGGGAACTAACGAAACTACAGTTTCAAAACCGTGTAGTTCACCCTGTTCGCCGGAGAGATGGCGCCACTTGTTTAATTTTAATAAAAATTCAATTATTATTAATTTTATTGGCTTAATTTACTATAATATGCATTAATGTATATATACATATAATAAAAATATTTGAAAATTCATATTTTTTAAATTTTGTTTAATTTGCTGCATCATTTTCAGAAGAACCGATCGTCAGTAAGGTAGGAAATGACACGAAAATGGTACAAAACTTTTATCGAATCGCCAACAATCGTTTTCACAGATATTTCCTTGTTTATAAAAATTTGGTGAACATCGGAACATGATAGTATTCCAAAGTTTCGCCAAAATTATTATAATTCACCTTTGACTAACGAACGTATGAAGGGTGTATTTTATCCTCGGATACGTGTAGCCTTTTTTTGATTAAAAACAAATGTAAATAGTTGTACTAATTGCCTCTAATTTACCAATAAAAAATGTCAACATTTTTACATTTATCGTGATATTAATATATTATTTGTCAGGTTTAAAATGATAGTTTATGATAAATTGAAAATTTGATTCATAATGAGTATCTTACCAATTCCAAACGTGCTATAATTTCCATATTATAATATCAATCTATATAGAGGTAACAGAATATGCAGAATCTTTCCTTGTAAATAACACTTCTATATATTCAGACCAATTGACCGTTAGTTTATCTCTCGTTACGCAAGCCTACGCACTATAGTATAGTCGAAGCTGGACTCCCGTTGATGACAGCTTAGCAAATTAAAGAAAAAATATGGAGTGTTTAGAATTAAATTATGGATCAACTTCGTAATTACTTCTGAGTGGTATGATCTTGGCAATCGATAATCTTTGCAAAAAGTTCATTGCTTGATCGATAAGGAACTCTGAAAGATAAATCAATTTCACGAAACCTTTTCATCGAATGTTTCAACCTTGATAGATTATTTTTTTCTCGGTAAAAGCACTGACCATATTTGTAGCGATTTTACATGGCATGAAAGTGTAGATGCATTTGTTCATACAAAAGCTCGTTACTTTACCACTTAAACAATAATGAGATGAAATATGTATAGATATTGTGAATGTAACTACAGATAAAAGAAACATATGCGTGCTGAAATGAATTTTATTACCTTCATGCTCGTTAACGTCTTTATGACTATAGTTACCTAGTAAATTTTAGCTTTTTAAGCAGAATTCAATAACAAGAATTCTTTATTACTGTACAGTGAATATAATTAAATATAAAATAAATAAATCAATAATGAGAAAAATATAAATATTTTTTTGATAAAAGAATCTGATAACGTCTCCATATTAAGATGGTTTCTTCCCACAAAACCTATTGTTAAGAATTTATCATTTACTAATTTACATGAATAAATTACCAACATGAACTACTAAAATTTCTCTCTTAATTTCAATTAACATTATCTATAATGTTGCCACTGTTCCCAGTATTGTGCGGTTTGCATTTCGGAAAGTCGTGATACCGTTCGATCGAAAGCAAAAAGTTCTTCTTCTCCGGTAAAAAGATTGGATTTGTAATCATCCTGTCAATGATAGAAATTTACAAAATTGCAAATAACATTTAGAAACAAATTTTCGTTATTCCACTTACTGAACCATGCGATATTTTGAGATCATCCATTAGCATTCGTTTTTCATCCGTATATTCGCTGTCACCTTCTGGTATAAAAAGCTGTGTATGTGGTACAGCAGCAGATATAACAACCCTTACCTAACGAATTTGATTCACTTATGTAATACATTTCTGTGATATATTAATTTATCAAAACTTTACTGTTAATAACGATCTTACCTTGTTATCATACAATGTATCAATTAATGTAATAAATCTCCTTGTTTGAGATTTAAATCGAAAATCTAATTGTGGTACATCTCTTATAATAATCGTGTGAAATATTTGACTTAATTTTAAATAGTCACTGGCTCCAAGTGGCTATAAAGTTATATTAAGTTAAAAGCCCAAATACCTTGTAAATCCTTAACATTACTTATAATGAAAGTATGCAAAATAACTTACTCTGTCACATAACTCTTCGAAAGTTGAATCTAGCACTTGACCACAAGTTCTTTCAAAAGTAACATTACGTCCTCTTATGGAAAGAGTACGTGATCTTACAATATCATTTTCCTTTGAACATAAGTATTTAAATACTTTATCTACATCGCTTACAGCATCCTCTCCTTTACTAAAGTTAAATTTCTTCATAAGTAAATACTTTATGTAATAAAGTATCCACAAACATTTTTTACATACATAAAATAGATCTTTTCGTCGCTAAGTCCATTTTTCAACCTGTAGTCTATACCCGAATCCAAAGAATGTACAATGCAATAATTTTTTAATACTTGTATAAATGGAATAAAATTTCCTCTCTGCAATCCATTTTTATATAAATCATCAGGTGCTCTATTACTGGTTGCAATTACTATTACACCATGATCAAAGAGTTCAGTAAACAACCGTTTTAATATCATCGCATCTGCAATATCAGTTACCTATGATGTACATATATATATTTCAATTAATACGTGTCTTATTTAATTTTATATGATTGACTATATGCTTCAGAGTTAAACCTGAAATTCATCGAAACAAAGTAACCAAGCTTCGTCAGTAATAGTTTTGGCAACTGGTGGTATTGGATCAAATGGTTGTAGCTTTGTACTGTCAACATCTCTTACAATACTTTTCTTCACCTCATGTACTTTATTATGTACATCAGCCATAAAGGCATGAAAATGAACTCTTCTCTTCTTCTCGATCTAAAATGATATATCTTTACATTATATCAAACAAATTATAAATCATACGAATTACAAGTACACATATGATTTTTCACATGAAATAGTTGTGGAAATTACAAACCTGACAACATTCATAGAAAAGATCCATCAACATTGTTTTACCTCCTCCTACTGCTCCATAGAGATATAATCCTTTCGGTGGTTGCTTTCTTTTTCTTCCAAGCCACTTATCCAAGACACTAAATTCTTCTGGTTTATATCCATTTATTTCTTCATAAATGTTTTGCAATGTTTTAACAACTTTGGTTTGATGTTCATCTTTCATTAACTCTCCTCTTACAATTTTATTATTCAGCCTAACAATTGGCCCATCTTTCATTTGGATAATATCAGCAACATATCCACTATTTTGTATAAAAACCAAAGGTTGAAGTCGCGACAATAGATTTGGAAAATAATTCTGATTAAGAAATTTCTTAGAGAGTAAAGAAGTCATTATGGAAAATGTCCTAAAGAAAAGGTCATAATTTATTACGTACTGATTGCTTAAACATGCGCGTGTTATTAATCGCCAAAGATATATGCTTACTCTTAGAAATAAACAATTTACATATGTACATTTGATTTATAATGTTAATCTAATAAAACATAGGAGTCTTTGTTCATCAATACAGTTGCAACTACCAACATATTTGATTCAATTTTACATTAGTCAGTCATATGCTTTAACCTTTACATGACATATGAAAATGTATTATACGTATCTACCTTAGAATAGGATACGCATGCCAAGAAATTTAGAAAGTATATAGCATAATATTCAGGTGTTAATAACTGCATAAGTGAATAGTATATTCAAAGAACATTAATCCTCCCGTTAATTTCCTTGTTATCACATTGTGACTGATGCTTCTTCATTATTTTGAAACCAACGAAAAGAAATTTTGAAGAAAATTTAATTCAGTTTTTGTAATTTTCATTTACCGCGCGTTAAGCCATGACGTAATTAAAGGAAAACATGGATGGTCATAACTGTTTATAAAAATCGTCATGTGCGCATAAAATCTCATTTACAAAAAGTGTTTTGTTTCATGAAAATTGGAACAAATAAAATATCACTTATGTTTTTTAATATTTTAACAAGATAGAAGAAAATAAATATATTATAGTATTAACATTTAATTGTATAATAAATTCTAGAAATTTTGTTTCAATAATTTAATTTAACCATGTTTTATATGAACTTAAAATTCTATTTACAATTATAATATGACTAAATCAAATACCTATAGAAATGTATATAAACATTGGTATGTAGGCCAAAAATGCAAAGGAAGAACCTAGGGAAAATTTAGGACAAAGAGAATCCTAGAGACCCTAGGGGAATCTTAGGGACTCTAGATAATTCTGATCTAGGGAATTCCTAAGAAGATCGTAAGGGAATGCCAGAAAAGGTATAGAGGAGCCCTAAGATAATATTAGGGAGAGCCTGGGAAACAGGAGAACCTTATAAGAAGGATATAGAAAGACTTAGGGCATCCTCTAATTTTAATAACCGGATAAATACAGCACCTGTAGATTACATACCCGTCATACCCGCGAATATAATTACCCATCACCAATTTAAAATAATAAACGAAAAGTCCAATTGTAATATTAATTAACTGAAACTTAAGAATTTTCCAAATTTTTAATCATTATGAAAAATTTTTGTATTATATGGAGGGTTATACAGTGGCGGTCTTCGCTTGTCTGGACTGATTCCTTCTCTCGACGAATAATAGCGACGTTCAATCACTTTATCAAAAAACCTACTTAATTTAACGGAAGAACTGGATCCAGCAGCTAATGATCTTACCTGACGGCAATCCTGAAGATTAGATTTTACATGTTAGAGTTAAACAATACCAATGGCTATTAATTAAAAAACAGTAGCTAACATACTAAAAATATTTCGTCAGCACCACATTCTTCTGCAATAGTTGAAGATCTTCTATGGACGTTTGATCTTACTTCTGCAACTAAATCCAACTTTGTACCAACAACTAAAATTGGTATCTAGAATGACAAATATTATTTGTATAAAATGATACTGTACAGAGTTATATGTTCGTATTGCCTTCATTACCTGGGTAGATCCCACAAATTTTTCAGGATCAAAATCATCGAATGGCTTTGATTTCATATTACTATCTTTACTCAAAACTTCTTCAAGCCATTTTTGAAGATTCTGTTGTGATTTTCTATTTGTTAAATCATGTACTAATATTATACCTGTTACATTATTGATAATCGTTTATTATTAATGTTTTGCATTATACTTTTTAAACTATTTATATATATTATAGTCATACCATTTGTAGGATTGTAAAAAACAGATCTGGTATTTTTATGATTTTGACTTCCACCAATATCCCACAATTCAATAAAATATCTTCTTTGATTAGGAGTTCCTTGTTTGTATTCGTGCAATTTAACTTCTACTGAACAACCTATAGTCCACGAAGGATTACTTATAGGCTGTTGTTGACATATTAAATGTATTAATGATGTTTTCCCAACACCTAAACATAAGAAATTGTATTTAAAAAAATGTCTTTTTAATCATTACATATCTTAAATTCCATAACCTACTATCAATACTTATTTTACAAATAAATCTAAAATAAAATGATGGAAATAAATTAGTGCATATTTTTAGATAATATGTACCAATAATAGATACGCTTTTATATATTTGCTAATGTGTGTCGCTCTTTTCAAAAAGTAAACAACAATCCAGTGATCATAACAATAATAAAAAATCAAAATTGTGCCAATATATTCTTACCAGAATCTCCAACAACAATAATTTTTACTTTATCAATCGCAGCCATTAATAATCTTTAATAGAACATTTAAAAATGTATACTTATATTTATAATCTCTTATTCCCCTTATTTAAATTTTCATTTAATAATTTCTTGTACAATGAACATATAACCTAGAAATAATTGTAATTGTAAACAAGCATCCAGTGGCATAGTTATCAAGTATTTGTCGTCTTTTGACGAAATAATGAATTTTATCTTTTTGTTTTTTATTTTATTTGTGTGAATATACGTGTGGCATTATGATATGTATTTTAATTCGCTTCTATTGATATTGATACGAGTTATTTTATGATTGAAGGAAATACTATTTATACGATTTTAGAGGTTAGTGTATTTTATTACAGAACAAATTATTTGTAAACATAGACTTAATAATCATTAACTGGTACTGCATATTTTAATTTCTAAAAAAGTCTAACTTATCCATTTAGTTTTCAAATGACATAATAAGTATAACTACAATATTATCTTCCTTTTATTATTTTTAATTATTTGTAAATTTGTAAACATTCCTTTGTGTCAGTACCAGTTAAGGTTTAATACTTGATAAGATATTGATTACTAAAATACTATTGAATCTTATTTTAATCTTTGCTGTTTTTAATCTGTTTTTAAATAACTTTCAGTGATTTGGATAATATTTTAATATATGTAATGACGAACAGAATGAGCGGTGAAGAAAGACTTGTTACAGAAGTTCCAAGTAGTTTGAAACAATTAGCACGCTTAGTAGTACGTGGATTTTATACGATAGAAGATGCATTAATTGTTGATATGTTGGTTAGAAATCCATGTAAGTATTAGACTTATGTATTCATTTATTTTCAAAAGACTATGTTTTAAATAAAAATATATCATTGTACTTATGCTAGGTATGAAAGAAGATGACATATGTGAGCTTCTAAAATTTGAACGTAAAATGTTAAGAGCTAGAATATCAACTTTGCGTAATGATAAATTTATACAAGTTAGATTAAAAATGGAAACTGGGTCCGATGGTAAAGCACAAAAAGTTAACTATTACTTTATTAATTATAAGGTAAACTACTATACAGTATTATAAACTGAAAACTTTTATTAATGATATATTAAGCCAATCTAATTATTTTTGCATTTTAGACTTTTGTAAATGTAGTAAAATATAAATTAGATTTAATGAAGAAGAGAATGGAAACTGAAGAAAGAGATGCTACTAGTAGGGCTAGTTTTAAATGTACAAATTGTTTAAAAACATTTACTGATCTTGAAGTAAGTAAATTATTCTTGAATATTACAGCAATGTTTCTCAAATGTTTGAGTATATAATTGTTACAGTAATATTCAATTATTCCTAGCTAATAAACACTGAAAAGTATAAAAAGATAGAAGATAATTTGAGAAACATTGTTTTATCATCTTACATAAAGATGGATTTTAAGATATTTATTAATATGATACAATATAGGCAGATCAGTTATTTGATATGACTACTGGTGAATTTAGATGTACATATTGTCGTGAGATAGTAGAAGAAGATCAGTCTGCCCTTCCAAAAAAAGATTCAAGGCTGTTATTGGCCAAATTTAACGAACAATTAGAACCTCTTTATATTCTATTAAGGGAGGTAGAAGGTATTAAGTTAGCTCCAGAAATACTAGAACCAGAACCGGTTGACATAAACACCATAAGAGGGTAGGTATTTCTCATTAAGCTGGAGCTTATAAAGTTAGATTAATTTTATACGAAAATTTATAATTTTTTATATGCCTATTTTCTTAGTATTGATACAAGGAAACCAAGTAGCTTAAGAGCACCTGGTGAACAATGGTCTGGTGAAGCTACAAGGTCATCAGGTTTCCTAGTAGAAGATACTAGAGTAGATGTTACCATTGGTGATGATGCTGTCGATGATAATGTGGCAAATAGAAGGAAAGAAAGACCAATTTGGATGATGGAAAGTACCGTCATTAATTCCGACTCACAGGTAAACTTTAATTTAGAAGTTCATTATCAAATTCATTTGAATACCTGTTATTTATAATATTTACTTTTAGCCTGATGGAATTAGTACGCAAGAGAACATTTTGGATAAAGCTGCAGCTACTGCCACTAACACAACAGCAACAAATAACAAGCAAGGCGAAGATATTATGTCTGTCTTATTAGCTCATGAAAAGAAAGGAGGAACAAATTCAACAGCTGCTATAAAATCTGTATTACCTCAAGAATCTAGTGATAGTAGTGATAATGAAGAAGTCGCTGAAATGCAAGCTATTGACACAGGTATGATTTTCATAAACGGGTTTGAATATATCATAGAATGATTCTATGTTTAAAGTATGGTTTTCAAACATTTTAGGAGAAGTAGAAACTATGGATTCGGAAGATGATGACCTTGTACCGACAGTAACTGTCGCAGGAAAAACTGTTGCTATCGCAGATGTAAATGACGCATTAATTGCGGAAATGACTCCCGTGGAGAAAGAAGCATATATCCAAGCATATCAGGAGTATTATTCTCACATGTATGACTAGACAAAATACAGTCAGTATTGTTAACTGCTTAACAATGCTTTGCAAGACTGAGTGGTTACTGAGATTCTTGTAATATTTTGTATAGTCTTAAAATAAATAATTCTCTGGGTTTGGCAGAAATTTATTTTCTTTCAATTTAAATAGACGTGTATGTATATAATTATTTATAATAAAATATAAAGCAAACAAACCCATAAATTTACATTTTGTAACTTTTATATTTTTTTCTAACATACAGATATTACTTAACATTGCCAGTTTGTAATAAATAAACATGTACAGACACGTTATAATCATGATAAATAAAAATTAATAGCATACATGTCACTTCTGGTAAGGCGGGAAAACTTTAATCTTAACCAAATATAAGTTATTTATTAAGCTTACTTAAAATCATTTATCATTTTTTTTGTTCGCCCTTATGTGAATTTCTAATCGACCACCACCATCGAATAGAAATTCTAAGACGATATATACTTTTCATGTAACACTTTTCGCTTTTTTTTTTTGCATTTTTGTAATATTTTTTTTAGATTATTATTTTTAATTTTCACGGACCAATGAATGCATTGCGGATATTGTGATGTTTTTACCTTCTGTACCTTTTTATTCTTCTTTCAGTAATTGGACATATCTTACATCAAAAGAATCCTAGAATAAAAATGATATAATACATTCTATACATGTACACGTTACAGTTTATTATCTTTTCACTAATTCCGTTGATAATTCTATTATATTTCAGTAAAATTGTATTGAAGATCCAAGATTCCTTTGAAGTAAATATTTGTCACTTTGGTAAATGTTCTTTATTCTGGCTCGTTCAAACGTAAACGAGCGAAGTCTTCAAATACGATATTATCATCGTCGTCATTAGCATAAGAGCTGTCATAACGTGCTCGATCAATGCTCTTATTTTTCTTCAAGGTGGCTCTTTCTTTTTCTGCAGCTCCTATTGAAAATAACATATGTTTAAATATATAATTATACGTACTTAAGAATATATTATTCCGTTATCAGTATTAAAATGTATTTACCAGGCGCAGGATGCATTAATTTAAACGGAACATCCGTTACCAATTCACCACCCAAAGTGCCACAATTCAGTTTCACTCGCACAGAATAGGAGATAACAATACCCATAGCTTCACCAGGCGTTTTACCCTCAGCAACCATAGTTGAAGATGCAAGATTCACATCGTCATCCTAAATATTAGATAATAATTATAAAATTAATCGATTAAATTACCAAATTCTTCAAAATTTTTCCCATACCTTTAGGTGACCATCTAACGCAATTCCACGACGGTCCTTATTGCTGCTGGCCAGTGGTACAAGATAAAACTCTTTTGTAAAGGAAGCGCCAGGTGTAATTGGGCAACCTTCACGTGTTTCTAAACTAGCCACATGTCGAGAGAACTGAGTATTAACCATTGTCACCTCACAGTGTTGCACCACAAAAAGCTAAAAGATAGTGTAATGAATAGTACATCAGCTTTTGTCACTACTACCATATTTAAATACCTTAATATTTTTCACTGCTTTTCGAGAATTATTAGTTATTATGACATTTGCAACTACTTTTTCTCCATGGTAATAAATCTCCCTATCAAGTGTGACTTCAAGATTTAATTTTCCTTGAGAGAATGTAAATCCTTTGGAAACTAAAGAGCTAGGCAATTTACGTCCTCTTGTAGGTGGAGCATATTGTAATTTCTTTATTGCTAATGCAACGGATGATCTTTTGTGTCCCTAAAAATGAATAATAATTTATTGTCATATATATGGTGAATTAACATTTGGTTTTAAGCAATAGATTACCTTATCTTCTTCATGTTCACCCACATATACTTTGACAGTATATTCAACTCCTAGTGGTTTTCCTTGATCATCATCACCTGGTTGAAGTGTAACTGAGCTAGGAGAATTTTGTGGAAATTGAAATAAGAATGGATATGCATTTGCTCCAAGTCGTTTCAAAAGACGTTCTTGAATGGGTGTCATGTCCTGTTTTTCCTTTTTTATTGGAACTATCTGTTCACGACAGAGAACAAGTTCCTTGCTGAACTTGACACCCATGACTTCATCCTCTTCTCGGCCATAGCGGAAAACTGTTGTTACCTATGTAGTATGTTAATACATTATAGAATATATTAATTACAAAACTTCGCTGAATTTGAATAAAAAATAAAATTTGTACCTGTCCATAAACCTTTCTGCCTTGAAGATAATCATTTTCAACAACCACGATTCCATCGATAGGATCTACACTATCTAAGTGATCAATGAAATCTCTTTTACCAAGGTAGACTGTGACTTTTCCTGTGATAACAGATAGAAAGTAATTCTAATTTTGCTTACTATTCGGTAAAGACATTTCATGCATCATATATTAGTACATACCATTTGGGGTAGTCTTCTTGAATACCTTGATGGCAACAACACAAGCCAAAAACAAGAAAGGAAACATTTGGCACCTTTCTCTAAACAAATGAATTAATAGAAGTTTGTTTCCCGCCCAGAAGTGACAGTCTCTTAACATGAACAGGGAACTTCATATAGTCTTGGAAAGGCTTCTTGCTAGAAGCCATACTACTAATAGCATTATTTTATTACACAAGTTAGTAAATGGGATTAGAAAGCATATATAACATTTTTGTTACGTGCATTGTAGGACTGATTTAGTATCCCATACACTTTCAATCAAGAAAGACTAGACGTCTGGAAAGAGTGCAAAACATTATTGCAGTTTTTATAGTGTACAAACAGTAATATTACAAAAAGTTTATAAAAATCATTAACATGTTTATCCTATGTATATTTGTAAAGAATTTATTCAGTTTACATGATAAAGGCTAAAATAAAGAGATACGCGTAATCAGTCTTAAGATTTATATTTATTTCAATAATAAGTGCTTACATAGTATAATATGGAGGTATTTTAATTGAAATCAAATCCCTTGAATGCTTAAGGAATCTCTTATGTATATTTTTACACAAATTTCTCTTAACATAAACGATATCCATTTTTTTCAAGTAGGTATTACTTATTATTGTTAATTAAAATCACTTGTATTTCTTTCTTCTTTCACGTTCAGTAATCAGTTAACACTTGGTATATCATTATATGTTATTGTGCAAACACTAGTACTGTTTCCAAATTGTTCTGGTAACTGAAAGACATCTTTTTTTTTGCAAGTAAGTAAGGCAAATATTAATGCCCTTTTTCAGAATGTAAATTTACAAATGAGGGAACATTTTTTAGTATATTCATATACATGTATCAAATAGTACCAAAATGAATTTTTCAGTAAAACTTAGTTAGATAAATGTTTCTTGGTGCTCTATGCTTTCTTAACATGAAAGGACTTCATATTATGCCAAAACCTGCATGCAGCAGCCAAGAAAACCTCATTCATATAAAACGTAATTATTTTGACTGTATATCTGAATTTCTTTTTAAATACAAAAAAGACCAAAACAATACGCAAAAAAAAGATAGATTATAAAAACAAATAATTATAAACTAAAAAATTTAAAAACCGATAACAGTAAGTAATAAGTAGTAGAATTATGATAAATACGTCTAATAATAGGCACGGTTAAAATATAGATATAGTATATTCATTATTTACTGTTTTATTATGCTACAGAAAGTCGTTGCTACCAGGGAACAGAAATATTTGCGAAATTTTATGAAATCTTTATTTCAAATACTTATTTTTGACAATATATTCATACAATGCTATAGACTATATACGTTATCTTGATTTCTTTACAAATTTTCGCATTTGTATTTTAAAACAAAAAATAGTTTTTGCTAAGAAAGAATTTGCAACACGTATATAAAAGTTCAATTAGATTTAAGTAATTATAATAAACTAAAAAGTCATCCTATAATAACGGTACTAAGATATCAAGGATTTATTTTTTACTTTTAAACAAAAAAAATTGTACCTTATGTTTGTTTAAAGCAATCTTGGCAATTTAATTTCATGAATCATGTATGTTATTCAAGTTCGAACACTTCCATTTTGGGGGAAATATTGCTTACATTGAAAGTATATATGTGCAAAAATGATACACAAAATAAAAATATTTCATACCCTGATCGTCAAAATAAAGCATCCTACACATGTGAAGTATATTACGTACATTTTGTACAAATAAGATAAAATTCAATGAGAACAATTTTCCCCAACATACTATTCAGTAATTTTTTTGTATGCACAGTGCCTTCTGCCAAAATCTTTAATATACGTTTGTACGCCTGCTTTGCAAGAGTATTTGCATACAATTGAGCAACATTTAATACAATGTACCATTAAATCAACAAAGAGCTTTTTGTATTATTTGATATTATTCTTAATGTTTTCTGTTATAACGTGCAAGAAATGAACAGTTATCTAATTTTAATTAATTACGCGATGTTACAGAACCCTGTGCAAGTCAAGCTCTCGATTTCAAGCATAGTCATGCACTGTGTATAACTTCTGTACGTATTAATATTTGTACATAGCTATAATCTCGGTACAGTTCCCTGATACCAGCGTATTTCTAACATCAGACAGTACAAATATTGTTAGTTTCAATAGTATACACTGTAGATTTTTGTAGTATGCTGTTTAGTGCAAACCTACTAAACTTACATTACTAATTTTTTTTTTCGTTTTTTTTATCAGACACGTTTTTTTTTCAATGTAAATCATAGTATGAATTTTTTTAATGATATTTCCTTGAACGAGGTGGTGCTGCATACCATGAATTAATTTCAAGCAAAAATTTATCTCACACAGTAGAAATCTATAATAATAAGAAAAAAAAACTAATAGATATAATTATTTTAATAGAAATTTTTTTGTTTGTTTAAAAAATTAACGAAAATATTTACTTATATACTAAAAAACGAGTATGTAATTAGTAGACACCTGTATTCTCACCTAATATTCTTCACAGAAACATGACCTTATAAATAAGAATCTTGTTTTAGGATAGATCTAAAACATAAAAATTATTAAAATGAAATATTCTTCAAAATAAAAAAAGAAAATAAAATAAATTTACTTACAACTTGGCGCAGCTTCAGATTCAAATCTTTTTTGTATCTGATCATAGGTAAATTTAACAAAAGCATCATATTGTTCAGAGAGCTTCATATTTAAAATCTGATCATATTCTTCTCGGATCTGTGTTTCTTGTTCCTTAAGCATTCGTTCACAGATCAAACCAACCTATAACATTATTTATTTAACAGTTTTCAACTCGCTAACCATGGACCCTAATATTGTTAACATATATTAATCAACACTATTCAGTTGATGTTTTCTAAATGATAAATGACATATACCTGTCTGAATGTGAATAAGGGTTTTTCTTTTCCACTAGGATTATAACTATGTGAATTTGAACCACACGCAGATGGGCTTGAAGGACTAGCAGGGCCTTCCATATCCGACGAATCACCACTATTGTTTTGAGGACTAAAATGCAATTGTTTGCGTCGATGCAGTCTCCGAATTTCCTCTCTTATATTGGCAGCCATTTTTTCTAAATATAAAAAATATATTTTTCAAAAAAACTGTAACTATAACAATGACACTTTGTCAATAAATAAAGATTTTAGATTATATGAATTCTACAAATTTAATTAATATAATTCTATATATTGCAATATTTAGAACAAATATTATAAATAATTATATTTATCAATAACATATTTTATAAATATTTAAATACAAACTGAGATAACAATACTGTCATTTTTAAATATTTTTTGACAATACATCCTAAGAATAATTTATTTAAAACATAAAGTTATGAATAACTTTGAAAAGAATACTTTGAAATAATGGGAAAACAGTAAATTAATAAAAAAAAAAAAGAAAAAAGGAAGGCTCATTCTCAATGTCCGTTACTACATTACCATATGATTTACCCATCTTCCCCTACCGAAACGCCGCACCTTCCCTCCCCCTTTTAAACGTACCAAATTTTAAGTTTTAAATCGCTAGAATGATCTAGCCGTCCTTTCCCTGTCATAACGTGGTAAAAAAGAACGAAAAGGAAAAAAGAAAAATTAAAAATGGCCGTGGTTCATAGCAATTACCAGGGGTAAGTTTATGGGTTACTTCGCCAAAAGGCGATGGATTTTGTGGCCTGGAATTGGCTTGCGTCGATGTACCGGGAGAGACACACATTGGTACACATCTTCGTCGTTTACTAGGACGACCATGACTATGCACCGGGTCGAACTCCAAAGATCTCTTTAATGTGGCGCAGGCCATTTCTCTCGTTTACCGTCCTGTTCACGACTGACACCCAGATTATGGGCTTAGCCCGCGAGTAACGATGATTGTGCCGAAAAATACAGCAAAACCACCGTATACGCGCACTGTCTGAGTAGATTCTCTAACTGCACTCTCGTTCTTCTGACTTCCTTCGTGCTGATCTCGTTGGATTTCTTCGTACTTTGACTGAGCTGCACCAAAACAAACACTGCGGTAAAACAATATGGCTGGCAACCACGGTTTGTCGGCTAGGAACAACCACGGAACGAATGTCTCAACCATCAAAGCACCATCTTTTCACTGGGCACTGCTTGCATTCCGAAATGTATACGTCGCAGACTCGACTAACCCGAAACCCTCCGTTCCTGATTGGTCAATCGATTGCATGGTGGCGTCTCTGCATTTCCTCTTTTTGACGTACTTCAATTGAAATATCAAAATGAAAGATTTCGAAAGCTTTGAATATTATAACTGCTATTATAACTACTACATTTAACATGAATATTCATCCAAATTTTACGACTATCGTAAAATTACTTAGCATTTTAACAAAAATTTATACTTGTGGGAATATAATTTCTTTGTACAAAAATTTGAATTATATTCACACAGTGACGAGCATCTTTGACTTCCTCTGGGGAAAATGGCGATATAGGGAAAGAAATTATCTACTGCAATATTCGAGATTTACCATTTGAAAGTCTCCATTACCATATGATTTACCCATCTTCCCCTACCGAAACGCCGCACCTTCCCTCCCCCTTTTAAACGTACCAAATTTTAAGTTTTAAATCGCTAGAATGATCTAGCCGTCCTTTCCCTGTCATAACGTGGTAAAAAAGAACGAAAAGGAAAAAAGAAAAATTAAAAATGGCCGTGGTTCATAGCAATTACCAGGGGTAAGTTTATGGGTTACTTCGCCAAAAGGCGATGGATTTTGTGGCCTGGAATTGGCTTGCGTCGATGTACCGGGAGAGACACACATTGGTACACATCTTCGTCGTTTACTAGGACGACCATGACTATGCACCGGGTCGAACTCCAAAGATCTCTTTAATGTGGCGCAGGCCATTTCTCTCGTTTACCGTCCTGTTCACGACTGACACCCAGATTATGGGCTTAGCCCGCGAGTAACGATGATTGTGCCGAAAAATACAGCAAAACCACCGTATACGCGCACTGTCTGAGTAGATTCTCTAACTGCACTCTCGTTCTTCTGACTTCCTTCGTGCTGATCTCGTTGGATTTCTTCGTACTTTGACTGAGCTGCACCAAAACAAACACTGCGGTAAAACAATATGGCTGGCAACCACGGTTTGTCGGCTAGGAACAACCACGGAACGAATGTCTCAACCATCAAAGCACCATCTTTTCACTGGGCACTGCTTGCATTCCGAAATGTATACGTCGCAGACTCGACTAACCCGAAACCCTCCGTTCCTGATTGGTCAATCGATTGCATGGTGGCGTCTCTGCATTTCCTCTTTTTGACGTACTTCAATTGAAATATCAAAATGAAAGATTTCGAAAGCTTTGAATATTATAACTGCTATTATAACTACTACATTTAACATGAATATTCATCCAAATTTTACGACTATCGTAAAATTACTTAGCATTTTAACAAAAATTTATACTTGTGGGAATATAATTTCTTTGTACAAAAATTTGAATTATATTCACACAGTGACGAGCATCTTTGACTTCCTCTGGGGAAAATGGCGATATAGGGAAAGAAATTATCTACTGCAATATTCGAGATTTACCATTTGAAAGTCTCACGATATATTGCCTGGCGCTAATGTAATCTCTCATTATATTGCCTCGTATTATTATTGTCTTATATTGTTACAACGCAGTACATCGCTTTATGTTATATCGTCATGTGTTATATCATCACACGTTGTACATAAATACATTACCTTGCATTATGGATATTATGCGTTATATTGCTATGACTTTTTGCAAAATTAATGAGCAAAGTAGTTATAACAAATGATGAGTTTTTTTTTTGCTATACATTGTCATTTTTTTTTAAGAAGCCTAATGTATTATCATAGGTTGTTATGTTACTTATAAAACCTTTTCATATTATTTATACATATTGTACATACTTATCTAAAAAATTTCAGATATTCAAGTTTATTAAAGTCAATGTTCACGTAATTAAAAAGCTTTTTATTGACATTTGAAACGTATGTTCTTTATAATAGTACGTATTGTATTACGTTTGAAACAGTTTACTGATAATTTCAAATAATTAATCTACTTGTCAAAATTAACTGCTAATGTTTAAATGTATCATCTTTGGTTACAGTAAGTAATTATGTATTAACAATGGGCAATTTTGCAGGTTTGTTTAATAATTTGAACTTACGTTTGAAAACGATTTTTTAAAGCATGCGCATAACTTCTCTTTATCCCTCTCTATTCACTTTGGGGAATTTTAAGCGGTGTCAGGAAGAACCTTACGCCATTCTATATTTACGATTTTTACTGAATTGTTATACGTTTTATCTATTTTCTTGTAGCCCGTCCAAAAAAGCGACGAATAATGACAACAGTGAGTCCCGTGGTAATAGCAGCTACAGCTAGACATACAGCAACAGTAAGTGGAAAATATCTTCTGAAAGTATCTTCTTTTTGGTTATATCTGTAACATAATTTTTAATTATCCATAAGTTAATTATTACTGACATAATCTTATCGCATAAACAATGAGTGTCTACAATATTCTTTTTTACTGTTGTTCAAATTTTGTATATTTATGTTTTGTTATAAAATCATTCAGTATTAGAAATAGTTTTTTATGACATACTGTTACAAAATATGTCCATAAGGATTAAAGGTAAATAGTCACATGTGTGTAAGTAACTTCATTAGTTTTATGTAATACATTATTTATGTTTCAGCTTATATTTTTTCATGGATTAGGTGATACAGGGTAACTATGTTGTTATATAATAAATCTGTAGTAATAAAACTTCATACTTACATTTACTTTATTTTTTTTATAGACATGGTTGGGCTAGTTCAATGGGTGCAGTGAGATCTCCTCATATTAAAGTTATTTGTCCAACTGCGTATGTACAATTGAGTCAAAGATGATGAAGTACAAATAAATGAAAATGTTTATTAACCTTTCTTCTAAATAAATATGACATTTAGTGTTATCATTTTAGGCCTATAATGCCAGTAACGTTAAATGCAGGATTTAGAATGCCTTCTTGGTAAGTAATGTTTATGTATCATAAATTATGACATAATCTCTATAAGTCATAAGTGTATTAACAGTAACATGTAATAAAAATATTAGAAATTATTTTGATATTAATGAATTCAGGTTTGATTTACGATCTTTGGAGCCAAGTGGGCCTGAAGATGAAGAAGGCATTCGTAGAGCTGCTGAAATGGTACATTCCTTAATTGCACAAGAAGTTGCAGCTGGAATACCTACAAAACGCATTTTTTTGGGTGGTTTCAGTCAGGGTGGTGCACTTGCTATATATAGTGCTCTTACATTTCCAGAACCTTTAGCTGGTATCATAGCTCTATCAGCTTGGCTTCCATTACATCAAAAATTCCCTGCTGTATGTATATCTATACCATACAAATAAATTAGATATTATACATATGTTGACGATACTGAATATTTTATAGGAAGCAATAGGAAATAAGAATACTCCACTGCTACAATGTCATGGTGATTGTGATCCTATAGTGCCATATAGATGGGGTCAATTAACTGCATCTGTTCTCAAACAATTTATGACTCAAACAGAATTTAAAACATATGGAGGAATGATGCATACATCTTGTGATGAGGTAGGAGAATACACATTCAAACTTATAATAACTATAAAAAATAAAATGATCCTTTATATGATTCATAAGTATTTATACAAATTTTTGTCTTAATTTAATTCATGAACTAATGATAAAATTCTTAATAAATATTTGATTATGATTGTTACTCTCACAGGAAATGCGCGACATGAAGGAATTCATCAAAAGAGTTTTGAAGCCGTAATAGTTATATTGAATATATATTAATGTTTTAAATATTAATCTTATTACTTTATTGTTCTTTATTAAAAATTCATTACTTCCAATTTTACTGCTACTTAATTCTAGCGCTTGATGAAGTAAAGACAGCAGTAGGTGAAAATGTTTAAAATCGTGAAAAAAAAAACTGATAATGTTAGTAATGAACTATTCTTTGGAATAAATACTTATTGTTTTCTGTTATCATGTATGTACATTATAATGAATTTTTTCCATTTCAAGATACCAAAGCTGCTACTATGATACTTCCAGATTTTACTTTTATAATACATATTAGCATTTTTTGATATTTGTGTACCTTATTCTGACTGCTTTATTATATGGGGAAGGTAATAGTACTAGAAAGTAAGATATTACCTTACATGCATTTTTTTAATAGAATTTTAAGTAGTTACTTTGGTATTATGATTAATAGAGTACAATGAAATAACTATGAATTAATAAGTTAAGTAGAATGAATTGTTTAACAAATGACTTATTTTAAACAAAATTATCATTTTGTAATAGACATACTAATTTTGTTTGGACTTCCCGTGAACGTTTTGAATGCTAGTATATTTAAATAAAAATCATTATTTATATATTGTAATTGTTATAAACATTTAAACATTCTTTATAATTTGTATATTTTATATAAGTTATACATCGTGTACAAACTCTGCTACTTAAAAAATAATGACTTTTGTAGAGATGTTGTCTAGAAGACAGTAATATGGTCGTGTAATCTGTAATTACAAAATATTGTTTTAAAAACAACAAACTTGGTACTTTTTGGTAGACAGCATATTGTAAATGCTAGTCGCAAAAATACATGTATATTAAGTATGATATCATTGGCAAGTGTAGAATACAAGAATACTACTCTTGCAGTACTTATTTTAGATTTAATCTAATCAAATGGTACTATTAAGAACAGAAAGAATTATTATCATCTAAAAAAAAAAGTATTTAACTGAGAAGCAATACTAGTTATATAATAAAACATAAAGATGATCATTTGTAATATTCATTTGTATTATTAAAACAGAACAAATCATGCTCGCTAAACACTTTTTTCTTTAATACTTTGTATGGAAATATGCAATAGAAAATTGTAATTAATTAACTGATTGTTCTGGAATAGTATTACCAGTCAAACTATCATTTTTTGTTGCATTTGAACTTTAACTAAATGACAGTATGGCTGTGATTTAATGTGGCGACCACTATATAGGTTTATTATTTACCTATCAAAAATAAATTTTAGTTATTGAAATTCAATTAAATTCTGTAGAATATGATGAGATATAAAATGATGACTTGGAGAGTATTAATCAGTATTTCGATTATTTATTTAAGTTCTTAATTTATTGTACGAAATTATGTTATTATTCGTCCAAATAAATTTTTTGTTATTAACGTCTAAACATTTTGTTTATAATAGCCTTTGTTTAGTATAAGTCTGTAAACAAGATTAACGCGCATGTGCTAAAGAGGGGTAAGTGCGTCAAACGCATATACCTGGCGTTCAAAAAATTGCACATATTTACTATCATATTTATATTATGTTTCTACTTAAGTTTTAGACGCTATATGAGCTGTTTACTATGTAAGTATGGCAATTTTATTAAAAAAGAAACTTCCTATATTTTTTAAAGGTTTGAACCTTGTATAAATATAAAACATATTTAACATATCATTTTTTTTTATTATAAAGTTGCTTTACTCGTAACAAACAGCTGTTAAAATTATTTAAATTATATTAATTTTTAGGAAAATGGATTTAGTGATTGAAATGTGATTGAGGAATAAACATAATGTCGTTTTCATATATTCGTGGAATACCTTCTATATCTCCTACATTATCCATTTCTATTACGTATCCATATATTTTATCCACTATGTATATGACGAATAAACGAATATTTTTTATGAAAGCGGGATGCGAGAATAGTGGAAGAGCTTTCTAATGTAGTTGCAACCAGCTGAATCGCTCTGGTCAAGATCATCATGTGATCGAGGCGTGCGAAACGATAAAAAACATTTATACTGTTTTGTGTTCCGTTGAATGGAAAATAAGAACAATATGCAATAAAATATAAATTAGCAGTGAGTGTGAATAATGATGAATATTAATGAACAAACACACCTTTAAATGAAGAATGTATATTTGACAGACACGCTTAAAGTTTAAGCATGAAGCATCTCAAATGATACAAATATAATGCATTTTTTATATTTTGAAAACTTGTACAGTTTTGTTCATTTTACTATATGAATATACATGTAACATCATTAATGAATAATAAATTTTAAATGTTTATTAATTATGTATGGAAGTATAACTCAAATAAGAATTTATTATTTATTCTGTCCGGCTTTTTGACATGACATACTGTTAATTGTTATCAGAGACGACAGATTAACAATATATTTTTGTATTACCTGTAAATATTTTTAACATATTTGTGTCATCTGTAAAATAAAAAATAATGGAGGATGATATTCTAACTTCTGTGGAAAATGGAATGTTGAAAATTATATTAAATCGACCAGCAAAAAAAAATGCTATTACTATTCTTGTAAGTAATTTGCAAATTATAATTACTATGTATGTACACACATAATTTATACTATGTTACTAAATTTCAAATCTTAATTATATACAGATGTACGAAAAATTAATACAACTTCTAAATGACTCTGCTCAAGATAATAGCTTATATGTAGTAGTTTTAACTGGTACAGGAAATTTTTTTAGTAGTGGAAACGATTTTATTTTTACATTAAAAGGAACACGTAACCGTTCTTTTGAAACAAGTGATAACATAGATATTGTCAAGTAAGTGATCGAAAATGTATTTGTTAATTATCTAAATTCTTTCATACATTTAAACTTAAATTATTTTTCAGAAAATTAGTAGATACGTTAATTTTATATCCTAAACTTTTAATAGTTATTGTAAATGGTCCAGCAATTGGAATCGCAACAACAATACTTCCATTATTTGATATAATATATACCTCAGATACGGTAACTTTTATATATAAATCTTGTTTAAGTTAATCTACTTTACAAATAATGATTTATTATATTTAGTAACTCATAAGGTCTTTGTGAGCAATTATATAATATTACAGGCTTACTTTCATACACCATTCACAAGCTTAGGCCTTAGTGCAGAAGGATGTTCAACATACACATTTCCAAAAATATTTGGACGGTCCAAAGTATTTAAACATCAGTATTTTATTAACTTATTTTTTTACTGATCTTTAACTGATTTCTTACTTGCAACTTTTTTTAGGCTGGTGATATGTTATATTTAGGATATAAAATGACAGCATTTGAAGCTAAACAATATGGTTTTGTTAGCGAGGTATATAAATATGAATGTCTAGAAGATGTTTGGATATATTTGAAGAAATTATCTCAACTTTCATCACAAGTATATTTCTTATTTGTCCTTATACGAAATATAGGTGACATAGTATAATTATTTTAAACAAATAAAAATATTTATTTCAGTCAATACTTTCAATTAAACGTTTGGTTAGAAAGTGGAATGAAAAAATATTATTAGAAGTTAATGTTGAAGAAACAAATGAAATTACAAAACGTATGGAGTCTACTGATTGGGTAGATAGATTCAACAAGATTATATTACACAAAAGCAAAATTTAAAAATTTATTTCATGTAATAATGAAGCATTATGTTTTGATGTACACAATGTATAATCTTTTATTTGATTTTACTTATTTGTTTGATTTATTATAGAATTTTTCATTATAAAAGTTATTTTATCATATATTTCTAATAGCATAGATTCCTAAAATAACATTTAAAAATGATTATCAATATTTCGTTTTAATGTGTAATATTAAATCATTCTTACTTTAAGTATTTTATCTGGAACTGGCTGCTGATAATGTTCCCATTTTGAAAGCTGATTAATGGTTAAATTGGAATTTGATACTTCACTTTGTAATAAAAGTTGATATTCTCTATCATTTTCTTCTTGTAATTTTTGAGGCACCTTTTCTGTTTTATTACAATCATTGCAAGAACATTGCATTAAATCATGAGTCAGACAATTAGTACCTGTTGTTAATGTAAATAAATCCTACAAATTTTGTAATACTTGTTAATATTTTTAAAAGCTGAAAGTACACATGAATTTAACGAACAAACCTTTAATTCATTCATAGAGAGTTTAAGAGAGTCAAAGCAATTTGAATCCACTACAGTTTCACTTAAACCTGCTTTACTGACTTGTCTCTGAAAAATCTTTTCCTCAATAGTTCCTGTTGTTAATAATCTATACATTTTTCACGATATTACGAAGATGTCTAGCATTTCTATTTACATTTATTAAAAATTTAAAATAATCTAACCGTAATATATAAACATCTTTTTTTTGACCATCTCTCCAAATTCTTGCCATAGCTTGAGAATCAGATGCTGGATTCCAATCAGAATCAAAAAGTATGAGTCTAGATGCCCCAAATAAGTTTAGTCCAACTCCACCAGCTTTTGCACTTAGTAAAAATATTTCTGCAAAAATGACCAACTTTACTGTTATATGAGTAGTATTATGAGTTGAATATTAAATGCTGCAAATTGTATTACTAACTGCTGTTATGGTTCTTTGAATTGAATTGTTCAATAATTTTAGACCTTGTAGTAGCTGGTGTACTACCATCTAATCTAAGAAAGTGTAAACCTTCTGTGCTGCAAACAGTTTCTAGCAAATCTAGCGTTTGTGTATAGTACGAAATTAATACCAATTTTTCATCTGTATTTTTTAGATTTTTCATTAATGTCTGTACAACTGAAATTTTTCCACAATATTGCTCTCTTGAGGTATATTTACATATATTAGTAGTTCCATTTAAGTTTATAGCGCTATTGTTCCAAAACTCATTTTTTTCGTTATAAAATAATTTTGGATGGTTACAAATTTTCTTTAAAGTCGTTATCACAGTCAAATGTGGAACATTAGAATTTGGTAACACACTTTTGTTGAACCATGTATCTGTAACCAGTGAATATAATTTCTCTTGTTCGTCTGATAGGCGACAAAATACAACTAATTCGTGTTTGGAAGGTAAATATTTGTTAATTGTGTCTTGTGTGCGTCTCAAAATGAAACTTCTTGTTTTTTCATGCAATTCAGTAGCCCTTTCAGTTCCTAAAGATGCGACGCTATAAGCTGCATGAGGGCATTTTGATGCTACAATAGGATTTTCGTAATAATTCTTAAATTCATTATTACTACCCAAAATACCGGGATTCACAAAATTAACTAAAGCAAAAAATTCTTGTAAATCGTTTTGTATCGGGGTTCCGGTCAGAAGAATTCTTCTTTTGCAATTTATATTACTTAAAAGCTGAAACAGTATAATGTACTAATTCTACTACTTCGTCTTTCCTAAATAAAAATTAGCGATATTACCTTTGCTGCTTTTATTTCATTATTTTTTAATCTGTGTCCTTCATCACATATAATTAAATCAAAATTTATCTGTTCAATTTCCTCTTCACATCTAATAAGCATATCATAACTAATAATTACCACTGAATTTCTTGCCTGTTTTTTAAAGTCTTTCAGCTTATTTTTGGCATTCACAACATATGGACAGAGTCTATGAAAACCCAACCAATGTTTAAATTCCTTGTTCCAATTATTACACAAACTACTAGGAGTTACTATTAATACAGTTTTTAATACTGGACTTCCATATGGTCCCTTCTTCAATAATGTCCAGACCAATGTTATACACTGTAATGTTTTGCCAAGACCCATTTCATCAGCCAAAATTGCACCATAATAATTAGATGTCTTTATTCCCATGATACATTCATATAAAAATATTATACCATAACGCTGATGCTGTCTAAGTACATTTACTAGACAAGCATCTACAGACACTTCCTTCTCATCTTTTGATATTTCATTCTCTGCCCAATTTTGTGAAGTGTACATAGGAGGCATTATCAGTGGATTGTGTGTCAATTTCAATCCTTTAATATAGTATTAATATTAATAATTTTATAAAACATAAATATTTACTTTTATACAAGTTATTTATTAAACTTATTAAACTTCATAGCAAACCTTGTTGTAATGAATTAAATGGAACAAATGGTTTAACATTTGAAGATTTTAATTTCTTTTTCGGTGGTTCTGGAATAGTTTCTTTAGAAGATTCATCTGGTAAAGATTTTTTGCATAATACTCTGTCAACTATCTGCATAAAGTTGTGCATTAATATCACATCTTAGTAATTTATATGTATTTACTTTTACCTCAATTTCCTTATTTCCCATATACATCCTAAAACCTTCTTCAAGAGTTGTTGGATTAACTGTTGTTGTATGAATTACATTACCCTCTGTATCCTATAAATTAACAATGTGAAAATACATAATTTTCTATTCAATTTACTTACAGCTGACTTGTATGCATTACCTTTAAAGTTGCACGTTTTCCACTAACTTCCAAAATTCCATCATCTTCCCACTTTTTATGTTTTCTTGTAGATTGTTTAGCAATTACTACATTAAAAGTCCTGAATAAAATCATAAATGTATTGCAGTTATATTAAATTAATATTATAACAGATAAGTATTGATATACATACATTTTTTCAGTAATTGTAACTGAATTATTAACATTAGATACAGTGTCTTTGTCAGTGCCTTTGTCTTTGTTTTCATCTGTGTTAATCTCATCATACTCTTTCTGTATTCTTTTGTCATTTTCCTTAGGCTTTTTCAATAAATTTAGAATTGATGTAGTACTTCTAAGAGTACTTTCCTCAACATTTTCTGCCAATTTTTTATCATTTTCTATATTTTCATTTGATTTACTACTTGTGGATTGCTGACATTTCAAAATGGATTTAAAATCTCTAATTCGGTTATTTCGATACATAATAAATACGCAAATAATACTTTATTAAAGATATTCTACGACGGAATTGTATATTAATATAATATCACATGATATGTAATGAATATGAATTGATTATTGATACAAACGTTTAAATTTGTTTCGTTTGAAGTGAAACCATTTACTCAAATCGCGCAACTCGGCAAACTTCGGTAGGCTTTTCACTATTTAGTATTGTCTCACTATCAAACGTTTTGCATTTCGTCTTTGAAAACGCAATGGATAAAAATATTTGAATAATACGAGAAATTAATGCAAATGTAGAATTATAAAGTACATAATATAATAGATTACTGAGTATATACATATAAAGAATATACAGTTGGTGTAACGAATTTGAGCGCGCTCGAACCAACATGCGCAAGATGCATAAAAAACTCATCGGATGATGAGTATGATCTTTTGTGGAATGAATGATAGTGTTCATTTCGATGTTTATTTCAACAATTATATCTTGTACTTGGGACTGTACATAAGACAATAAGTACGTATAAAAGTAAAAAGAGGTTCAACTTCATGATGACATAAAATCGTCATATGAAATAATACTTCCATCATATTTAACGTTGACAACCTAAGGGTTGTCCTCATGAAACACTAATGTGTGTCAGTGTGAATGCATGCTGTATAATCTATCTAATTTGTGAATATATGTATGTGTTACTTACGTATCTCTTATTTGTAAAATTTCATAGTGGAAATGTTTGCGTGAGCATGAGTATGCGTCGTTAAATTGTTTCAAGTTTGAAGGATAAGATGTTTCCAGAAGATTATGGTGCTTCCAAATAAGGTATGAGAAATGTTAGTGCGTACAAACAATAAATTCATAAACAAACAATGAAGGAAAAAAAATAATTACGTGCTTTTTTCAGAGGTTCTGTCATAGATGAAAGAATTAATTTGACGAAGTTGTAACATCATCTTCAACAACCGAACGAAAAAAAATGTATTGCCTACAGTGGTTAATTCCTGTGTTGCTGATACCAAAGCCAGTAAATCCAGCACTACTGCAAACCTATCTTATGTTTATGACACTTTATTTAATTGGATTCTTCCTAGAGCGAAAACCATGCACCATTTGTAGTTTAGTATTTCTTGTCGCAGTTCTACTGAATTGTTACAGTGGTACTGGTAATTGTATTCTTTGGAGCACAAATTGTGATACAGTGAAATGCGACAATAGTTAAGGTTATTAGAATATTAATTTTAGATTTAACAATTGTTTTTATCATTATTTTTGTTTTAGAAGAATATATCTAACTAATTTAACGATGATAACTATAACTTATTGATAAAATTTATACATTTATGCATATACACACACACATATGCATGTATGAATTTTGTTAGGTGTATATAAATATGACTTGCGATTCAATCATAAATTACAATTTTTGCAAATGATACATGTATTTATACATGTACATATGCTATGTGTACATGTATATTTACATTCATCTCTATTTATATAAAATGTAAGAACACATGAAACTGCTAGGCCATAAAACATTTTGCATGAAACTAAGAAACTTCCTTTAAGATCGTTACATTTTAAGTTTAAAAAATTATTAAAATATATTTTTTTGTAGATATATTTAAATGTAATTCCACTTACTTTTATTTTATCTGATTATACAGTGTACATAAATCTATTTTTGATTTAGAAAGTTCAATTTGTTTTATATATTGTATACATTGAAGTTAAGATATTTACTAATCACTTAATTAAAATAAATTTTTGCTTAACAAATTGTAAGCAATGTTTATTGTTATGCAAATTTAAATTTAATATTACTTGATTTTGTGAATAGTCTTAAAATGTAATATTTATGTACTAACGGCCAATATTATTAAATTCAGAATCCAGAATATGCTTAACAACATTTTATTTAATATATTCTGGATAATTAATTGAGCAATATAATTATAAAGTTTATCGATACAATATAAAGATCTAAGAATGTAAAATTAGGATACATTCTGAATGTGACAAGCAATAGAGGAGCACATTGTGCTAAATTGTAAAGGTTAAACTAATGAGCTCTAAAAGCATACTAATTATATGTTGAGTTCAAGAACTTTTACTTTGTTTATAAAATAATTGTACATTTATTTTATTAAGCATAGTAAATAGAAGAAATTAAAGTAATTTAATATATTAGTTAAAAATTTTGTATATAAGTCATTAGTAAATATATCTTCTGATTCAGTAGAGGCACTAATTTCTTATTATATACGTAATCAAGAAATATACAAAATGTTGGTACAGCAGTTAATTAGCATATGGTTAAAAAATTTTATGTTCCAACCAAGTATAAAATGAATGCCTATATTGTACTGCCAATACACTTAAATTTATCATTTAAATCAATAGCTAAAAATGTAATGAAAATACTTTCTCAAGGATAGTAAATTAATTAAAAATTACTTTAATATAAATACATATCTGTGATGTTTGGAGTTCCATGCATATATGTCTTGTCAACAACATATGTACGTACAGTAAACTTAGTTTCTCAGTTTTGAAATTGTGAATGAATTGCCTACTTCATACCTGCTTCCATTTATAACTTCAAATACTAGTAATAAATATAATGATCATAAAATTTGTAAGTAAATATAAATTTTTATAACATCATAGAAAAGTAATTAATTACTGTAGCATGCTTGTTTTAATTTTCTCAATTTATATCCTATAAAGATTCATTGGATAGTAACTGCATACTGTAATATTTCATTAGAGAGTAATAAACTAAACTAGAGGGCGCCAAAGATCACATTTTTTGTTGTAAAATATTTTACTAATTGATAGCATCATGATATGTAAGATTCACAGTTATAATTAATTTGTATAACATAAAATGCTACTGAAATTAATTAATTAATTCATTATTCATATATTGTAAGTGATTCCATTTAAAATGAAATCATGATTGTCTCCTAACAGATTTATGTAACTACCCTTTTTGTAGGTTTTCATAATTTCGAAACTGATTAATAACAATGTTTAATTCTGTATAATAACAAATTTTTATGTTATGAGATGAATATGTATAATATAACAAAGGATAAGTGAAATAATAATGCTGTTATGTTAAGAAAGATTTATTTATTTTACATTAAAATATTATTGTGGTTTACCACGACCAAATCCACCACGGAATTCAACGTCACCAGTACCTGCACCAACGTCAGCTTTCTTGTCACCAGGACCAGCTGGTCCTCCAGGTCCTCGTCTATATCCAGCACGATCTTCCGTAGGTCTAGATGCTTCACTTCTTGCACCCGTTGCAGGTCGTGGCCTTGTTGTTTCTGATCTAGTTTGTCTCTTAAGCGTAGAAGGTACAATTTCTGGAGGTAAATGCAAATATCCACGCAAGTATTCAATGCCTTCATTTGTCAAGTACCAGTAAAAATGTCTCCAGGCAAATTGTTCTTTGACATATCCTCTAGATTTTAGAGACTATAAAAACAAATAAAAATACAATTTTAATAACAAGATTAATTAAATAATGAATTAAATTATGTTTAGAAGATTACCTGCATTGCCTTAATGACTTGAAGGTTTGGAATTGATTCCAATTCTGGATGTTTTGGTGCATGATAATCCTTTTTCGCAACCATAACTCCCTCTTTAAAGAGGTACTCATAAATGGCTACACGATTCTTTTTTGGCATCAACATTCTAAAGAAAGTAAAACATTAATTTTTATTATCGCAGATATAATGAATTACTTAGAAGTATAAACAAAGGCAGGTTTTATATACATGCAACAATTTTATAGGTTATAAAATACTTTCTCAGTTTCAACAATTTATACAAAAATAATCAACATTTTCTACATAAAAATAATGTTTTCATGATTGTGAGTGAAAGATCTGAATGTAATAAATTGTTATGTCATATATTTCTGTTAACAACTAAAGAACCGCAATCTTTTTCTTGGTTAGGTCTACAATGTCAATGGTTTCATATAATAATAGTTGAAAATATTAATCATATGAAAGTTCTTCAACTGCGCAGGGATTAAAAAATTTAACAAACCTCCTGCTTTGTTTATAAAATTCAAATATAAAAACGATTAAAACAGATTCTCTGAGAAATCAAACATACTTGACGTTTCAGTGCAAGCCTTTTATCGGAAAGAAACTTTTCGTCCATTCGATAATTCACGTGCACGAATCGATATATCGTTCGAGTTTAACCGGAAGTATGGATTATGTATTAAAAATGTTAGTAAAGTGTACTGAAACGCTTTTGAAGGCATGCACAAAATATTAATTATAAAATAAATTAATTTTTTAGTTGTAGAAGTTTTGCTTTTAATAATAAAAAGTTACTCAAACTAATGTCTATTCTAAATTTTTTCGATGTTTTAAAATGGAATTTGTTAGCATGGGCGCTATGGTGCTTACGAGATTAGAAAATGAAATATAGAAATGGCAAAAGTGAGAAATATTATAAAATGGGAACAAGTTAAACTACATAGTATGTATATAAAATTATAATAGAAATAAATTTAATACTTTTCGTTTCAGAAAACATATGACATTAAACCATTTACATAATACTACCACGTTGATAGTAATATTGCTCAAAAAATGCGCCAATTTTAATCATCAGAATATATACAAATCCCAGTTGCAGAGGAATGTGTTTCAGCTATGTTCAGAAGGTTTCTGTAATATCAGATACTCTTATTAATGTTGTGGTCTGAACCGCCGTTAGAGTTTTCCCAACCAGGGTTAAAAATCAATTATTTTCGACGTTACTGATCGGAATTGACTCTCATTATATTGCCACAAATAGATTTATAATAAATGGCAATATAAAAACAGATTCTTTCATGCAGTGTTCAAAATTTTCAAAGTTTAAGCGCGAGGCTGAAGGGAAGTATAGTTTGCCTGCCGTTAACATAATGATATACCCAGTGAACAAAAAAATATGAATAACAGAAGAAAGCGATGATGTAGGAGAGTATACTAAATAAAAGATCATTGGATATACATGCCCATCATAAATGTCATTAGAGCGTCTGCGTGTTACCCTTAGCTACAGAGTATATTATAACCAATCGTAGCCGACATGTGCATAATAAAATAAAAAACATGCCATCTAGAAAGTACATTTTCTCATGGCGGGGACTGTAGTTGTTAAGTGGGTGTCAAACGAATACGCCTATTGTCAGTAAAAAATCACGATGAGGTAAACAGACGGTATATATTCCGCACAATTAATAATTATATAATTGTCATTAATAAAAATAGAATAACAGTAATATTTTACACTTTCTTCATTTAACATATGTATTTAAATTCAAATTTTTATTTGTAATATGAATTTTAAATAATTTACAATTATTTTGTTTTGTGTTTTAGAATCAACCAGAGTTTATTACAAAATTAATTGTATAAGAAAATTAAATGTTTATTTTTTATTTAAAACTTTAATCATCAGAGATTATTTAGTTCTATGAAAATAGTGTGAATCATAAACAAATAGCATGAATCATTTCTTTTTTTGGATTTATACTATGGGATTTAAGATTAAAAATATTTAAAATTTGAATTCAATTTAATTTTTCACATTTTATCATTGTTTTATTTTTCAGATGGTGTAACTTCAAGAAATATGTAGTTACGCATTTGTAAACAAATTCTGTTTTACTCATATACAATATGGAATTTTTTATACAGATGTTGTTATTTGTTTTGGATCATTATATGTATTGATTTTATTGAAAGATTTTGTTAAATGACATATACATGCTCATAAAAAGGATTAGCTAGTTCTAATTTATTTTATATTAGTCTAATAATATAGTAGTGTACATATAATTTATTTTTATTATAAATAAGATATAGAACATTGCTATATTATTTTATAAAAATGCATTTTTCCATACCAGATACACAAGAATTTATTGATTCAGCTGGTAATACATATGTGGTAATTAATTTTATTATATGAGGTATATGTTATGATACATTGATATATATTTATTTTTATTTTAATTTTTAGGGTTACAATATCCACATAAATGGTTTATTTCATTGTACAGTGAGATATAAACAATTGTACAGTCTCCATGAGCAATTAACAAAGGATTTGAATATATGTCTTCCACCATTTCCACCAAAAAAATTTTTTCCTTTAACAGTGAATCAACAAGAGGAACGTCGTTTTTCTTTGGAAAAATATATTCAATCAATTGGGCAAAATGCAGTGGTTAATAATTCAGGGATGTTAAATGGATTTCTATTGAATGCTCAACAAGAAACTGTAGGAGGACCATGTGATGATGAAATAATGGATATTTTTCTCATGAATGGCAGCAAGATAATAGTAAATGTTTCTACAGGAGATCACTCTAGCAATGTTTTAAGGGTATTTTTTATTTAAAAAATATTTATATCAAAACATAGGATAAATAAAGTTAATTAATGTTTCTTTTTAATAGAAAGTGTGCAAACACCTTAAACTACCAGACCAGTATCATTTTTATTTTGCATTATATATTGTTGCTCAAGATGAAGATAATAGTATTTACTGTGAGTTTATTTGCATATCATTATATTTTAAGATATCATACATAATTGTTGTTAATTTCTCTTATACATGCTATTTTCAGTGTTGAGAAAATTACAAGATTTTGAATCCCCCTTTATAACAAATAAACACATGCGTGTTATAGGAAGCAGAGTTGTACTTGGAAGAAATTACTGGGATGTGGGATATGATCTTAAATTAATGAGTAATGCAGTAGCATTGAATTTGTTATACATTCAAGCAGTTGCAGAAGTTCGAAGAGGATGGATTCTTGTTACAGATGAATTAAAAAATCAGTTGACTACATTACAAAATTATGAAAAAAGAAGAGAAGTATGTTTAAATATTTGTCATAGCATAGAATATGTAGATAATAATTATATTGTATTGGTGTTTGTTTTAGTACTTGGATATAGTACGTAGTTCTAAATACTATGGCTATATTCAATTTGCTCCATGCCTTTGTGACTATCCTCGTCCAGATTCAAAAGTATTAGTTGCCATAGGTAGGAATGAATTAAATTTGCGTATATTATCTGATGAAGGAAAACTTGAAAAAGTGTTTAAAGTCTCACGAATGCGTTGTTGGCGTATAACTACATTACAAAATGTATGTAATCATGAGGAAAAATATTTCAAATGTTATTGCATGACTTTATTTATTTCATTCTTTTCAGGGAGCTGAAAGAAGTGAAGAAAATGACGATTTTAGTCTCGAATTATCCTTTGAATATTTAATAGCTGAAAACGACCTGCAATGGATTACAATTATTTCGGAACAAGCTATCTTAATGTCTGTATGTTTGCAAGCTATGATCGATGAATTATTATCGAGAAACGATGGCGGCATTAAAACCCAGGTTAATGAAAAGCACTATTAGTTATCGAATAAAATTAGATCATTTTCCGGGTTAAATATTTAAAAATTTTTTTTAGGAAATCACCCCAAAATCTTGGACATATATTATGAGAGACGGACAAAGCGTTATTATGGGAGCAAGCTCTGATGAAACTGATGAAAGTAAAAGAGTACGTAATTTTAGTAATACTTACGATTTATTTTATAAGTTATTATACGTATATGTATATTTTTTTAAGAATCGTTGCATCAAACAACCATCGAAGTCAGAATCAATTATGAAAAAGCTTGCTGATAAATTATCTCCGGTGAAAATAAAAAAATCTAATGATGGTAAAAGTAACAAACTTCAGGGAAAATATGTATTGGACCATGATGTTATGGAAAACAATGCATTTCGTATGATCGGCGATGATGATTTATAAATGTACAGAATAATTTCAAATATTTTGAAAACGTTTTAAAACAAAGTATATTTTTTCTAAGCTACAATTAAATGACGTAAATTTATAAATTTTTTTACACGAAATGAAGTAAAACAAATTTAATGTTTTACTTGTATATTATTATTATACTCGTTTTATTTATATAAATTTTTAAAAATTTGTAATTTATTTTTAAGATTTATAAAAATTATGAAATAATATAGAAATTAAGCGTTTAAAAATTTGTAATAATCCCTTTGTATTATATATACACGTGTTGATAATAAAAATGGCATAACAAACACTTAAATTTCATGCAAAAAATTACAACATAAATAATGACAGTTTGTTTAAAAAAATTATAACCTTTATGTTTTACATAACTTTTATTTATCGTAGTTATGTGAGTTGATGAATGAATCTTAAGCAAAATTAAATTTACACAAAAAGTTTTCAGATGGAATAAATAAAAGAAACTTAAATAACTTAGTTTACATTTTATTACTAAAATCAAATATGCAAAGGCAGTGTTTTTATAATGATTTTATCCATTTTTGTTTGAAATAAAGAATTATGAATATATTTAATTTTACTATTTTTAAACAAGATTAAAATTCGTGTAATTACGCTGTATAATCAATGCATAGCTCTAACTAGATAGGTAATCATTTGTTGGAAAGACGAATTTCTGCCTTCAGTCTGTATATTTTGCCCAAACATATAGAGAATGGTACAATTTATCAGAAAAATGTAAAGATAAAACGACTCCCTAAACAAATAATTGTAAATTGTAATACAAAAGAATAATAATTTTCTAATACGCAAAAATAAAAAACATTCGCTATGGTCCTATGAAATAGACTTCTACACGTGTACATTATACTCATAAATATTATAGATCTCTATTTCATGGACTATCAGAATTTTTATAGAAAAAAATTTTTATCGTACGCCCTTAATGATGGATAATAGGTAATTATATGGAAATGCATAATTATTTTTTTACAACTTCATTTCCGCATGTCTGCATTTTAGTGATACATGTGGAAGATGAACATAGAAAATCTTTTTACTACAAACGTATTTATGCTCTATCGAATGTGTAATTCTGCATAAGTCAAATTTATTCGTTTCTGTTAAGATTATTGCAACAGACGTATATTTTATATTTCGCAGTGAATGGTGTGCCCTATTTTTCATCGTACAATAAAGATATCTTTTTCTTAAATATAACTTAATTGTCTGTTGTTTTATCAACAGTAAAATCCAATACTATCGCTTGAATAATGTTAGTATGTCATGGTAGGGCCATATAAAGACTGGATTTAATAATTAATATTTGAATCTCTTTGACCATAATGTGCATATTTTCTATATCAAAAATATGTTGTTATTCTGTATTGTTATTTTCTAAATAAACAAAAGAGTCAGTTCTGGCTATAGCATTTAAGTATTATAAATCTATTTTTGCTACTTATAAAATAGCCCAACGTCAGCAAAGAATTACTCCGTTATGTCGTAATATCCTTTATAGTAGGTACATGCGTTACTGTTTTTGTTTCACAGAACTGGTATAAATATGTATCGAAATCTGTATTAACCTTGAAAGTAATGCTAACGCGTTCGAAGATCTCAAACTGTAAGAATGATTCAAAAAATGTGTTTCAATAGAATAGAAAGTTTTACATAAATCTAAAAATATAAATCTTGCCATTGTTTCATGACGACTATTCTCAACAATTTAAATGCTGACTTAACGAATTATTGAAATATTAAAATACGTTCTAATACGGAAGACTAATTTTAGTACATTCATTCGTCAAATATTTTACATTGAGAGATGTTACTCTCATTGTAACGTTGTATACTATAAAGATATTTCAAGAACAATTCGTAGGTTTATGTTTACAAGAATTAAAAATGAAATTGTTTAACGCAAAAACGAATATTCCGTAAACTAATTATATATCTACAGGTAACGCATAACTTATTTATGGCAGTAAAAAAAGGAGTAAGTTTCATAACATTTTCTAAAAATTGCTTCACGAGCAAACAATACATTAGCACACAAAACTATATAAATATGTATATTTTCGGGATGATCTCCATGCATGTGTTTCGTATGAGCAATGATACTGTAATAATATGGATAAAATAAATGGCATAGTAGGTGACTAGCGTAAGATAAAAACCGAATATCAATTTTACATGGACATCCGCCCACTTTGTTATTCATAAAAAAAAAGAAAAAAAATCACAAACCTGACTTACTATTACTTTTTTACTCTCGTTGCATTTAACTCTTTTTCTTAGAAGAGGAATACACTATTTTGGAACACCAATATGGTCCAAATTTCGCACAATTATTACATGCCCCTTTATAATTATACTACATTTGAGTCCTATCGATGTTCTATGTGTTCCTCTCGTTAGTTTTAACTTTTAAAGATCGCTAAATGGTCTTCGCATTTCTATAAGCATACATAACAGATGAACATAATGATAAAAAAAAAATTAATTATCATGATTGTTTACCTAAATCGCGTAAAATAATTTACATTGGTGACGTGAGGCTATTGGCTAGTATTAATTACTCGTACTTGATTCACAAAAAGAGAGAACATTGTTATTTATAAACGGAAGAGAATACTTTTAATCGCTATTACTCGTGTTATAAATGAATGTTTAATTGGATGTGAGCAATGTTCTTCTTTTTGACGAATCTAAGGGCGAGATGAATAAAATCTATTCATTTATACAACTGTACACCCTTTATCTACCGTCATCACACTTATTTGCATGAAAAAAGCAACCAAACTGTTAGAAGTTCTGCTGACGTTTCCGCTTAGTATCCATAGCATCAAGAATTGGTTGTCTCTTAGTTTGGTACCTTCTTCTTAATTCGTCAATTTCCCGTTCCATTTCTGCATCCAAATTAGCCATTCGTTGCTGTAGTTCCTCGTACGAGAGAAACTTCAGCTGCAGGATATGGTTGTTTATCTATATTCAAGTGTTTTTTAATGATGCCTAAAGTGGCATTATATCGATCGATTTTAAGTCAAAGAAAGATATTATGAAGAACTAGAAAGCTCCTTTTAATTTACTGCTAATTATCGTGAGTTAAGAGTTTGTAGGCATTTATTACTTACGAAATCGAAATCACGTTCTGTGAAGACATTTTGGAACTTGGATATGTTATTATGCGGCTGTTCTTGTACCGGATGAGAAATCTGATTAAGTTGTAACTGTAAATGACTCTGAAACCTTTGAGATTCTGTAGGGCTTCGCAATTCTAACTTATTTTCATTATCTTGATTATGCGCTCCAAGTATCTGTCCATTACCCTAAAAATGGCGAAATCAATATCTTGTATACTTACATATATAATTATTGTATGAACTCTACCTTCCCTATTTCTGGTGCTTCCTTTTTGTCAAAATGGTCTAAAAATAACGGTCGATATTTTTTCCCAGATTCAACTGACCCTGTATTATGCCCTATAGATAAATTATATCGGTTCAATTTATTTATTCTATTTTGTATCTTAATATCAAATCATTCTTACTAACGTTTCATAGTCGCTTCAGTATCTGTATCACTATTAATAACCATTGTTCCCAAATCCAACATTGCAGAAACAAGTGTTCCTGTATCTGGAAGATCATGAGTTGGTACTAATGTTCCTGTGTCTTCTGGTAGAGGTTTCATCGTTCCACTACAGTCTTCCTCATCCTTATAATAATCAGTATATATTTATTATGAATATTATTGTATATTCAGTACCAAATATCGATCGATCAGTACAATACAAACCGAATCCTCTGTCTGGTTTTGATTTTTTATTGCAACATTATTGATAACATGAGCACGATGTGCACTTTGTTTTTCCCTTATTTCATGTGCTTCTGCAATCATTTGACTGAGAATACTTGGTTGCTTGGCATTACCTATAACAATATATTGTATTAAATGTACATTGAGAAAGAAAATAACTGGTACAATTAAGTTTATCATTGTGCTGACTTTTACCTATAAATTCGTGATTTAGAAGCTCAGTTGCAGTAGCTCTCTCTTCTGGATTTTTAACAAGGCACCCGCTGACAAAATCAATAAATTCAGAACTCCACTGATCAGGTTCCCTAAAGCTAGGTGGTGGTTTAGTTGGTATCATAAATATTGCTCTCATTGGATGTATGTCACCATACGGTGGTTTGCCTTCTGCCATTTCTAAAGCAGTTATACCAAGGGACCATATGTCTGCAACACAATCGTATCCAATTTCTTGTATTACTTCTGGAGCCATCCAAAATGGAGTTCCTATGACAGTGTTACGTTTTGCCATTGTATCCTAGAAAAATTATTCCAAATTACTATTCAAAGTTTATTTTGCAAATATAAAGATTATATGATAGAACTTACAGTTAACTGTCCTGCTACTCCAAAGTCTGCCAATTTTGCGTGTCCTTCATTGTTGAGCAGAATATTCCCTGCTTTAATATCTCTATGTATTTTTCTTCTTAAATGAAGATACTCTAAACCTTTCAAAGTATCACTGAGGATTGTTGCTATCTCATCCTCTTGGAGAGTTTTTTTCCTTAACCTCATAATATCGCTAACAGATCCAGCCCCACAATATTCCATTACAATCTATAAAATGGCATCATAATAAAAATAACCAAAGAATATGAAAATAAGTTTGATTCTTTGTAATAGTAAAATCTGAAGTTACCCATAAATCAGTGTTTTTAAAGTAGCTTCCATAATATTTAACAACATATGGAGAATCACACTGTTGCATGATAGAAATTTCTTTTATAATTTCTTGTAAATCTGTGTCCACAGGTACTTGTTTAATAGCAAGTACCTGTCCACTTTCTTTGTGCAATGCTTTATAAACTGATCCATAAGATCTATGAACAAGTATAATGATTAAATTATAAATGATAAGAGGATTTGTTGATGCAATCATGTAACATTTGATATGAATACTCGTCAACTTACCCTTCTCCTAACTTGCATATTATATCAAATACTTCCTCAGGCTGTCTCGTTAAACTTTCTTCTGACAACTTTTTTAATTCACTATAAAATAGGTTATTTCAAATGTTAAATTATATACAATTTCTTATTTACAATTAGCTTGTTTATTTTCATTTTACAAGATTGGGTTGTACAAAACATTTGTATAAGGGCTGTACAACAAAGCTGTGACAATATCCTGTGATGATTACAATGTATAATGAGCTCTAATGATTCTAAAATAAATAAAAAGCTTCCCGGCATTGAATACTTTTTTTATTCGTTCGAATAAGCAAAAATAATTGCAAGCATATTATATTGATAACGCAGGTTAACAAAGAAACAAAGAATCGATACGGTATAGAATTTTCATGTAACAAACGAAATGCGTTAAGGATCGTGAACCGATTGTTTCCAGCTACAAATAACTTCACTCTGCAAATTCATAAAGATCAGCAGGTTCAAAAACACGAAGTAAAAACAATTAAATACCTCTTCGAAGACATTTTCGCTTTTCGCGTCAACGAGTTCTTACTTGAATAAAAACACCTTCAGTATTTACACAAATAACTTAACGTGGATAAAACAGATATCATTCCGGTTGTAAAAACATAGTCAATTTAAAATAGAAGTGTTACATTTTTGTCAATAAATTAAAGTAACCACACAACCGAAATATCGAAACCATCGACCATCGAGCATCGTAGATGGCGGAGTTGACAAAAAAGTTCCAGGATCTAGATTAATTATGTGCATCCACCATCGGTTAATATTCCACGAATCGATAAATAAATATCTCTGTTTCATCAATTTTATCTTTGATTTACCGATAATATTATTTCTAATCGATAGATAAGTAAATTCGCAAAATAACTTGAATTCAATATAAATTTTCAGAAGATCTAGGTCAGTGACGGGCAAGTGAAGTGCGCAGGATTTAGTCATAGGGTAATCCTAGGGATCCTATAGGGGAATTCTACAGGATCCGTAGAAAAATCTATGGAAATCTTAGACAAATTCTTCGATAATAATAGGATAATTGTAGGAAAAGCTTAGACGGAGTCTAGCAGATTTATTAGAAGTTCAATAACTCCTTACATTATATTCTTCCAAATGCAGTTGCTCGTCATTGATCCAGATGGTCTCTGACTTACCATGATCTAACAGCTTTCCTAACGTTATGTTTTACTTATAAGGATACAAAGGTACTTGAACGATAAAAAGATAAGTGTGCAAAACATACATTCATCTATTTGAAAAATTACAATTTTAAAAATACTTTACCGCTTTCGCAATGATATCGATTCTTTTAGTGATAGCTACAACAATATCATTGTTTCGACTAGTTCAATATTTTCCGTTTACATTCAATAGTAACGACGTCATTTCAATTTTCAAAATAATTCTATTTTCAATATAATAATCATCATTGTGGCTAAATGCAAAATGTTTAAATAAGAAGAGTATCTGGGCTTTAGATCTAGAATATATCGAGTTAATTATTTAAAAAAATAGCATACATGTTTACCATTTCAAATTTGTCATATTTTCCAACGATAAAAATGATTACTTTCTAAGTTATTTAGTACGACAAATGTTTTAAGGTTTCTGTACGTTTGATTTGTAATGTCTCAAAGCTTGAAGAGTAAGACTTAACGCAGCCTGGTTCCAAGTACGAGGTATTTAACGAAACGACTTTTGTATATGCCGCCAAGTCAGTTTAACTAGAACGATGGCCAGCAGATGGTGCCTATACTCGAGCAACAGTCTCACACACGGGAGTTTCTAGGCCCTGTACGTAATCGCGTGTCCACGCACGGTGAACGCTAGCACTCGTTTGCTAGACGGCCGGCTAGCAAAACGAGTCGATTTCTCCTGGTGCGCGATATCGTGGTAAAAGGTGGAGAGGAGACGTAGCTCGTTGAGGAATTCGAGGGTATTGTCGAGGGTACCGGTACGAGGGGAGCTTGTGGTAGTTGCAACGACGGCGGCAGCGACGGCGGTGGCGGCGGCGGCGGCGACGGCATTGTCCTGCTTGTTTTGTTGTCTCGCGCGAAACGCACAGGTGGAAAAGAGAAGAAGCTATCGCGTTGTCGAGGAACCGAGGAGTGACGGAGGCGAGCGAGACGGTGTGTACGAGTCGTATAGAGAAGAGACTGGTGGTGTGTCGTTTACGAATGCCTCTAGGTATACCGTAAAAGCGAACAGCGAACGTCGCGTAAAAGGGAGAAAGAAGGAGATAGGGAGAGGTAGAGAAGAAAAGATTCGGTACGGTGGTGAAAGAGAAAGACGAGAACGAGAGGAGATAGATAGGAGAAGACGGGAAGGTGGGAGAGAAAGAGAGACGGAAATAAAGAAGAACGAAAGGTAGCCAGTGTACAGGACACGAGGAGAGACAACAGAGCCAGAGAGAGAGAAAGACACGAGAAGCGCATTAGAGTGCGTGATCCAAAATGGCGCTGAACCAGGACGTGGACCAGTTGTCGAAGAGTAATCTCGTGGTAAGGATCGATCAAAACTCTGAATCGGATCTACAGGCGCTCTTCGACAGCGTCCTGAAGCCAGACTCGAAGCGTCCGCTGCAAGTACCACTGCGCATGCGCAATCTACCAGATTCCTTCTTCAATCCACCGTCGACGGGTAGCAAGAGTCCCTCGATTTCGCATTCCCGGGAGAATTCGGCGGATTCGGCGTTCGGTACAGCGGCCGTCGCAGCGGTCGGCGGCGGTGGTGCACCCGGTGGAAACGCGACCGGTGCCACACCGGCTACCGGGGCA